CTATCTTCATATCTATCTGCTGGATTGTTTTTATGTGTTCAAGAAATGGATATAGCAGTTGTAACATAAGTAACTATGTTAGAATATTGACAAAATTTGATTGGCAGCCAGCAGAAACTGAGTTAGAAAAGCTGTAAACAAAAGTTAATAGAAAAAAAAAAACACAAAACCCCAAGAAAAATATTATAGCCCAGATAATAACTTTCTACAAGCAAAGAGAGAGAGAAAAAAGGCAATATTTACTAAATAGTTCATTTGATATCACTGACTTAGGTCGTTTCATTAGCTGATAGAGTGGTTTGATAAGAAGATGTACAATTAAGGTTATTTTGTGGACCAAATAAAATCAACAAGTCAGCTTGCTTACATATAAAATGAAAAGGAGGGCGTATAAATACCTATCATAAGTGCATATCAAAAGTGTTTTGACACACAATGAATCTGTAACACTGTAAACAAGCTAATGACAAGTTTACAGCTGTAGATAAGGTTGAAGATTAGCCATGGGAAATTGCCCCATCAAAATAAACAGAAAAAGAAAGGATAAAGCAATTTACCCAAGTGCATCAAAGCTCCTGTGTGTGCAATTCCACTTAGCTAGAACTATTTTCCAACCATACACACTTTCCCATCAGCCCAGAAGTAGCAGCATTAGATGGTGTCCCCTTTCTTTAGGGTTACTTTTGTGTCTTCTTATTCGATGAGCCCATGTTAGTTCAGGAGTAGTGATCCAGGATTGTTAGAAGCTGGAGTCTCACTATAGAGTAGCAGTTCAGCTTTCCTTATTGGATAAAGTACAAATGCCAAGATAAGAAGTAAATTCTTGCTGCACTAGGAGCTGCAGCAAGATGACAGTATCTCAAATAATATGACTTTCTGCTTGTCCTGGTAATTCAGAGCCTCTTAAAAGTGAAAGACTTTCAGATTCCTTGTTAAATTCCAGTTGATAATTACTTTCAGCCAAACAGGCAACAGAATGAAAATCTCTAGAACAAAAAAATCTCATCATCTTAGTGACTTTCAGGATGGAAGTTCCTAACACACATGACAGCTAAACCACAGTGAGTGGTAATCGGGAAGTCCTATGCCAAAACCAACAACTGCTATTGACTGCTAATAACTGCCCTCCAGAACTGGGATATAACATAAGCTTCCTGATTTCTGGCATTCTGCAGTTGCCTAAACACAATGGTATAAACCACAGGCAAAGCATGGGGATTGCACGAGTGAATATTTCAGTCAGTGACTCCCTTAAAACTTGCCTACACAAGCTGTGTCACAGCAGTTTATCCAACTGTAACTAAGGGCTGAGTGGATTTGTTAAACACCTTTGGCTGGATACTTTATTCACAATTTAGTTAGCCTTCATTCAGTTTGATATAATTCATTCTTATCTGGTTTACTTTAGCAAAACAAAGGTGGATTGATAAACACCAGGAACAAAAAGGATTATTTAATGGAAACAGTGGTCACTGCTAATATAATAGCTAATGGGTATAAGTTTGAGTTTAGAAGCTGGAAGATAATTCTTAACCCTCACAGCAACCATGCTCTGGAATGGTTTTCTAGTACAGTAATATGAGCAAAATACTTAACTCCTTTTAAGGTAAAGCTCAGTCAGTCTGTGAACCAGATTACATGTCATGCTTGCAATAACAAGCATTTAATGACCCTGAAGGTGCCTTTCAGGAAAGTTCCCACAATAATATTTACATATCTAGTCTACCTCTCTCAAGATTTGCAAAATGTACATAATATATGCAGAATATATCTCCTACTGTAAAAACTTAAAAACAAATGTTAGATCTTTCAAACTCATTATATAGTTTCAGAATCACTAACAAACACTTTCTCCCTTGTTTCAGTTTTTTATTTGTAACATGGTAGTAGTAATACCTTCTTGTCTCACAGAGAGCAATTAAGGAAAATTCATGACTATTTTATAAAATGCTCACTCCAGTGATAAACACAATCTCCTCACGATCAAATCAATAAACTAATACAGATTTAGACAGTGTATGGTAAATAAAGGTCTTAGCTACACACAGCCTAAACAAATAAACAGCTGTTTCCTTCACTGTGCATCTGTCCTCCTGTCAGGATTTCCTGACAGGGGTCCTGCCAGGAAATATATCTGAGGACCTTGGAGTACCTGAGGATCTTTTAGTAAGAAATTACCCTAGTGATGTGCACAACAGACAGCATTAATTTGCACTGGCAACATTGGTTAGGACTCTAAACACATAATTTAGCCAATGATCTGGTAAACAATAATTCAACATAATTTAAAATTTAAGGGGTTTTTTTTGCAAAATCTCTGGTGCGGTTAAATTATTTGTTTTTACTGCGGAGTTAAGGAGAAAAATGTGAAAAACAAATTACTGGGTAATAATGAATTCCCTTTCTGGCTATAAATTATTATTAATATGCTATCACATCTTCAAAGATATTTAAACTAGGGTGTGTCTCATAGTATGTCACTATTACACTGTAAATACACACTGAATCTCTCAGGTACATCCGCTGACCTGATATGAATGCACCTTGTACTTACTAAGCTGATCCAGCAGCATCCATACTGCAGGAATGATAACCATCTATGTCCACAAACTGAAATCCCCACTGGCACTGCTATTTATGTGGATTTGGCACTGGAATCATCACTGGGTATGATTCTCCAGAGGAGAATTACACACAGGTTCTTAGCATTTCATTAACTTGTGATGCTCTGGGAAACATTTGATAGCAAGCTATGACAAATTTCCATCTTCCTTTCAGACCTTCATGGGAAAGTTTTCAGTCTGCCAACATGTTAGGTTTACAGTTGCTGTGACGTAAGTTCCTCTCTTTCATGTGTCCCAAACAGTGCCAATATGAGCACAGCAGGATGAGCTGTTCATGCTCGTACTTGCAGAGCTATCACAGCCATGAACATTTAGGGGGGGTTGAAGTACACAAAGAGCTCTCAAACTGTTCTGGAGTCATCAACAGCTCTCACAATTCCCATAGTTTCCCCTTGGCATGTGGCAGTTCTGGAGGTGATATAAAAGACACCTGCAGATCTCTCTGGAAAAAAAAAGGATATATCTGTGTGGATAAGAGTGTTATTTCCTCTACATAGAAAAGCTGTCAGTGAGATTTCTCAATCAAGCATTACCTCTGGTGACTGTGTTCTTTGTAGTTACTCTTCCATAGGATACTTGGGAGAAGAGAGTTTTAATTACACTTCAGACATTCTGAAGGGTTGCTTTGCATGCTTCGGATCAAGACCATTCATACTACAGGACAGTTGTACAAAAGGAAAAAAGGAAAATATTTATATGTAATGGCCAAGTCAGGAGACAGCAATGCCTCCCATGCACCTGACCAGTTCTACCTCTCCAAACAGCTCATATGCTCTGCTTCAACACATCTAATTAAACTAAATAGAGCGCCACACTAAGGCAGCTGTGCTCTTCCTAGCAGCCAAACTAGCTCATTTATGGTTTGGTCAGGTATTTTTGCAGTGCACTGTTGTGCAGGCCTAATTGAGGCAATCGTTACTGCTGGGCAAACAAAGGAAACAAAATAATGCTTTTTGTAGTTGTAGGCTTACAGAATGGACTGACATGCATGAAAAAATATGAATGGGAAATGTGAGACTCTGCATAGGAATTATTTACAGCTCTGATGTGATTACGGTAGAGGTGGCTATTTTGTTATGAGCTGTGTGATGTTCTCTTTTTTCTCAAACATCTCTGCAAGCTGAAAGTTCCAATCAGTGTTAACCAATTAAATCACATAAAGTGGTTTTGACACACCTACTATCCCTTTGTGTCTTGCAGCACCTTGCTCTGCCCTCCCCAGAGTTGCTTCCTTTTTCCTATAGCACCTGATCCAGCAAAGGTGGTGGAACCTGCATGGAAACAGAACTACATATCTTTTTCTGCCAAGAAGAATAAACCTGCATAATTTCAAGGCAGCAGTTACAGCCTTCCTTCATGTAGATGTATTTTTTATTCCATCTGACACACCAATGTGTTTTGAAATTCCTGCTGGCCACATGGGCACTTCAAAGAACAGATCATCAGCTGCTGTTCACTGAAACATACCCAAAAAGTTTTCAGTGTCTGGTCAGGGGTGCAGGGCCTGATAAAATGAAGGACAACAGGGGAAAACACTACCATGTCATATGGGAAGGAGAGCATAGTCAATTACCACTGCTCAGCACAGCCCTCCCAACTCTGTTAGGAATTCATTGTTGACACTGGACAGGCACTGATAATCCCAGTGTATTTCAATAGGGACCAAGGAATCCGCAATTAACCTTCTCTGTTGGTTTGTTGCACAGTGTTGAAGCAGGAATCCTCTCTCTTCATGCAAAAGGACATGTGATTTCACTGTAAGAGGCAGCCTTCAAGAGTGCCCTGGAAGACAGTAAGAGCAAAAAGGACAGTGTGGGACTTCTTTCAAAAGGGCTCACTGAAGTTCCTGATGGCAGTGATCTGTTTAAGACAATATGGACAGTTTCTCAACAGCCAGAGGCTTACTTCCTAGAAAACAAGCATTTGCTATCTTTGATTAGCCCAATGGCTAGAAAACTTCATGTTTAGACGGGCCAAGCTGCCTTCAGACTGTCATGGCAAAAGATTAAGGACATCAATTTCCCTGACAAGCTGTCATGAGCGTCAGGTTCTGTCACAGCCACGCTCCTGCCGCAGCCTCCACCTGCTGAGGCCTCAAGGGGAAAAAAAAAAAAAAAAAAAAAAAACAAGAACACCTTAAAACAATAACTAACTTCTGGATGGGCAAGCGCCATGGACCCTACGGCAACGAGCAAAGCCTCCCCGCCCTCACAGGGAGCAGCAGGGCGTACAAAGGAGCCGCTTCGGCACGGGTGCCCCAGCTCAGTGACTCCCCGGGGGAGAAGGACCCGAGCGGTGCGGAGGCGAAAAGGCGGGCTGGGCGAGGGCGGAGGAGGCGGGAGGAGGCGGGCCGGGGGAGCGGGAGGAGGCGGGCCGGGTTGGGGACGGGAGCTCCGGGCGCGGCCATTCCGGTGGGATGTGCGCGGTGCCATCGGTAAGCCGGCCGGGGGCTCAGGTGGGCAGCTCGGCTGCGGGGTCGGGTCAGTGGTGGGGGGCACCGGTGCTGGGCTCCTGGACCGAGACCTGGGGCGGGAAAAGGTGGAAGCGGCGGTGGCGGAGGGAGAGAGGTCCCTCTGCCCGAGCCGGGTGGCGTTTTGCAGGGCCAGCGCTGAGGAGCCCGGCACGGCCCCTGCAGAGCACGGCGGCGGCGGGAGCTCGGACAAGGGACAAGGGCGATTTGTGCTTTTATGTTTTTAAATGTCCCCTGCGCCGCCAGCCACCCCCGCGTATCTTAATCTCCTGGTTTGAGTTGCTCTGGCAGCAGACCAGAAAGAAAGGTAATGAAAACTTTGACTCCAGAAAGAAAAACTATTGTTTTAATAGCTCATGGTGATGACTGAGGTGTAAGCTTTTTAGTACTTTACAAATTTATGGTTAAGAAGTAGACTTAAGTCCATGTAAGTCACAGGGAAATTCCTGGAGCTTCAGGAAAATACCCAGGGGTGCAGACTGGACAGGGTCACTCACAGGATTGGACCACAATAATAGTTACTGGGCTTAGTGATGAAAAAATATTCACGAAGATGGGAAAGAAAAATCAAAGTTCTTGTCAGAAATACAGCTACTGAAGAAAAAGGTACTTTTAATATCAAAATTACTGTTACTGTAATACTAAAGCAATACACATAGGGTATTTGTGTACTCACCAATTACCACAGTTTTGAGAAACCTTATTTAAAACATTTGTCTTTATGTCATCACCAAGAGATAAGTGAATTGTCATTATTCCTGTTTGCAGCAGAGAGGCACTAAATGGTTTACCTAAAATCAGAGTGGAATTTAAATCACTTAACTCTTGTTCAACCAAAAGCTGGTCTGAAGTCATTGTTTTAGACTGAACCTTTGCAGTTAGGCTGTGGGCATTACAGTTTACAGGAGCAAAAGGTAGACGTGACAGGCAAGGATCACATCCTTCTGTTACTTGCCACTTCTGTGGATGATCTGAATTTCAAAGGCAATAGCCAGAGCTGATCTATATATCTAATGAGAACTGTGCTAAAATCAGGACCAAGTGCTCTACATAAGTACTCAAAGATAGTCACTCTAATCTGACGTTCCCGTCCCACTTTGCTTGTGCCAACATGAGTACTTTCACAGCTGTAACTGGGAAATCCAGTAATGTTATTGTCTTTAAGTTTGTATAAGGTCTTGCAGATCAGTGAGAATCAGGTTCAGTAAGTAGCAGATCGATTATCAAGGAGGGATAGGAGCAGGAGGTAGAAGCCAGAGCTATTCCATTCAATGTCAACTTTTAACTCAGTTCAGCTATTCACAGCACTAATTCTATAGTGTCTTAAATAGTTTTGGGGTTACTAGGGTCAGAATTTGAGTGTTCTCAACTACTTGCATTTTTTTTTCAGGCTTCTATATATTTTGGCTTCAATTTATTAAGAAAGCTTTAGAAGATAGACATTTATAATTGAGCCCTGAAATCCTGTAGGTCACTTCTCGCTTTCAGGCCTGAAAAACCATCTCTAGATTCATGTTGTGTAGTCTTGCAGAAAATCTCTAGCGGTTAAAGTGGATTCACAAGTTATTCCCCTCAAAATATCCCCAAACAGTAGGCCAGTTTTATTGCTCTGTGACAAATATCTGATTGTATTCCTGAGATTATACAAGGGTAGGTTTTGTCAAAAATTCAGTAACCTTAGAGCATTAGACCTGAAAACCTCAGTGGATGCCTTAGTAGTTTCCAGACCTCTTGAATAGCTGACAGTGCAGGTGTCTTAGAAAACCAGAAAAAAAAAAAAAAGAAAAACCAGTCAGAGGCCTAATCTAGGATTTTAGGAACTCAAGTAAAGTTTCTTGCTGTAACAGGTGCTTTCAGTATAAATTTCAATAAGGACCCTAGACCTCATCTACACAACAGAGTTTTGGCCCTTTAAATAAATCAGCATAGTTAAAAACCAGCAATACTGCCGATATGGATCCATTTCCTTTAGAACTAATTACGATAACATAGGGAGTGTACACTGCTACAAAAAAAAATCACATCTTTCTGCACCACATGAACACCAGTATAAATTAACATGGCCCACACCTTAGTCTTACTGCAAAATTAATGTGAATTTCACGCATACCAAAGCATCTGTAGTGATTAAATACTGCATGACCATAAGATAAAGATACACTTGTGTGGAAAGATGGTCATAAAAGACTGACACTTAACCTGGAAGGTTTTGGTTTACAATTTTGAAACCAGTGTGTTGCATGAGAACAGGGTTTAAAGCAAAACTTTTCTCATGAACGGAGAAAAGGAAGTAAAATATTTGCACAAAATGATCGCTCTTCAGCAGCCTTCAGTTCTATTTTGGAACTGATTACCTGGAGCAGAAATAACTGGCTTATCTGAAATATGTTAGTGCGTTGTTTGGTTGTGTCTGTAAGTACAAGATCTGATTGGCATCCTAAATAATTTTACCCAAGGTGAAGGAGATTTTTTGGGTTTTTTATACTGCTCCCACACTGTAGCACATGAACCAATACTACTTCATGTGTGATTTACTACTAAACTGTCTTATGTCAGGGCCTTGGCACTTCCTGGGTTTTTATGCAGCTTGCTGATTGTTTTTTTGTTGTGAACATCTCTTGATGGCTGGCTTACCATACTCACAACCAAGAAATTTCCTTTCCAGGATCCAAGGCATTTCAAAGCTTTCAGATTTTCAGTGTTGCCCATACTAAATTAGACTTTGTAGCTAGTAGTGCGTGGCAAAATACTGCCACAGCAATTCACTTTTCATCATAATGTCTGCCTTCCACTCTTAATTCAGGAGTTCTTAGTATCCCCTTTATAAATATAACTCAGAATATGTGGTTGTTGCAAGTAACCACATATTTTTCTTAAAATTGAAGTTTTGATTCCTGCAGGTTTTTGGCTGCTTGTCTCATAAATTGGCTGCACAAGTCTTATCCAGGTCTATTTGGCATATTAGAGTGTCTCTGCAGATTTCACATTGGCTTGCAAAGACACTTGACAAATTTGTGAAATAGCATGTTACAGAGCAAGTAGCAAACCTTAGGAGAAAAGATGAACTTGTTCTTCAGAGTGTAAATTAACCTTCAGGCCCTGCCTCCCTTAAGTTTCTCCATTGTCTCATAGCTTCTGAGTTTAAAAAGATGATTAGAAGGAGCTTTTAACATTTAGCCTCTTATGTTCTGCAGTACAGTGAGACAAGTACTAATGAATCTGCACAGTAACTCTTGCTATGATATTTTAGTGGGACTTTTGTGTGGATTGGGGATGATCCACTCTTCCATAGCATTGTGTAGTGTGACCTGCATCTAGGTCAGCATTCATTATCTTCCCAGGCCACCCAGAACCTCAGACCTGGAGAACATCTTGAAATATTCAGATAGAGAGCAAAGAAAAGGGATGTTGCTGAGGAGATGCATTGTCTGAATTGCTTCCCTTTTGGGTGCTGTAGACATTTTTGAGATAAGATAGTGCAATTTTATTGATTGCATTTCTGTTTGCTGAGAATTGATTTATTACTTCCTACTGCAAACCAGCACAGATGACACAGAAGGCCTATTGCACACTGCCTGAGAAGGAACAGAATAGAAACACACACCATAAACATGCATGTGCCAAAGGTTTGAGGAACATTCTTGTCAAAAGTGCCCTTTGCCAAGTGTATTTAACAAATAATTTTCCGAAAGAAGAATGAGGACTATCTCTTTGGAGATTACAGCAAAAGAGAAGGATGTTGTCAGAAGGCAGGAAGTGGTCAGGAGAAGCCAGGGTAAGTGGTAAGGCACTTCAAGTGACACGTGAGCAGATGACCACAACGTAATAGTAAGGTGCAGTTCCGGAGCATAAACATAGACTAAATTATCTACGCATCTGTTTTGCTGACAATATTAAGAAATTATCTAGTATGGGAGAGGTCAGTGATTGCCAAGTGCTTTGCTAAAGGCTACCAATAATATAACTGGAATTAAGGAATTTTTAGTCTCAGCTTGGTCCCCCTGCAGGAAGGCTAGGAGCAGAGGTGTGCATGCAGATATGCAGGTGATATTTTGTAGAACTGGAAGCTGATAGAATTTATAAGAGAAAATAGAAGGCAAGTAACTGGAAAAGAAACCAAATTGTGAATATGAAATACACACACAAGAGAATGCTTATGCTGGGGTTTATGATGAAAGACCCTTCTTTCAGGGTGCACACCATTTAAAGAAGGGGTTTTCTCAGTACTACCACTAGCAGAGGGTTCTCAAAGGCTGTTTTTACTGTATTATAGGATGGTTAAACATGAATAGTGTATAGTGTTGATCTGTCCTGTGGTAAAAATGACACTGCTGTGCCTTGCTTTAACAAAGATATGACAGCCAGCTATTTCATGCTAACCATGTCTAGTTCTTCCAGTTTTTCATATCTCTAAGTGCTTTATAAGAAGAGGAAGGAATCAGAGTACATGAAGGAACTGGTGTAGAGAGAAAGGAAGTACGTCCACTGTCAGATAATTCCTTCCACATTTCATCGTTATCATGTGGCGTTACTAAGCTTGCTGCAAAAACTTGACTTTTTGAGTGTAAGACATACCTGAATTAGCTCTATATCAGCTCTTGCCATTCAGCAAGATCAAGTAGTGTTCACCTGAGTGTATGGTATGAAAACGAGGATGGTCTAGCTTGTGTTTGAGAACACTGTCCTCAAAACTTGGCATGTGATCATTTAGGCTTCCTGTTTTCAAATACTTGAATGTTATTCTTGGGTTTTTTAAACATAAGCATTTTTTTAAAAATAAACTTCTACAAATAGTTCTTCAGAGTAACTCATCTTGTGGGCCATTTGTCAGTGATTAAAGTATTATCTACCATTTTGTATTACTACTTTGGATTCACATTAGCTGGAGAACTCAAGAATTTACAATAAAAAAATAGCATGACAAGAGGGTCAAGTTATGTTTTAAGGGAAGTGATTTATTAGAAAAATTGTTCAAAACAGCCTTTTTTTTGATCTTCAGTAACTTCATCCTTGATAATATCTAACATGAAGGTGACAGTACTCCTTTTTGACCAAAGAAAAGGTGTTCATTACTTTCTGAACCAAATTTAATGAGGAAGAGTAATAAAATTACTCTAAATAGTTAAAAAAAGCAAAAGAGATTTCTGAAGTTTGAAACCTCATAAATCCTATTTTAACTTGGCGATGCAAATGATTTTTTAAAAAAAGCATTTTCAGGTGGTAGTGTAGCTCTGTCAAATCCCAGGTGAGTCAGAGGGCATTGTGGCAGAGTGTGAGGTCCAGATGCTTATTTCCCAAGATGCTGGTTAATTGTCTGATTCACCTTTCTGATCATAGGAGATCACTTGTTGTTTCTCATACAATGTTTCCAGTGTAGTAAGTTCATGTTAATTATTTCTGGTCCATAAAATCTTCAAAGTTTACCTAAAAGTTGTTACATTAAAATACTGGGGATACTGGCAGAAATATGCAGTGCACACAGCTGAATGTGATGTTTCCTGTCCCTTTTTAAGCTCGTCCTTAGATGAGGAAGGGTGGGGCAGAGGTTTTGGAGCTGTCAGGAGTCAAGGGTGTTTATGTGGTAAGGGGTGACTGCTCTTCAACAACACTGCATACATAGTTTAAACCTTTAGCTCGAGATCCAGCGGTGAGGAATTCCATCTTAACATGCTGTCATATTAAAATGTCCAGTACTCTTCCATTCTGCTGACAACCCCCCCCCCTTTTTTTTTTTTTAAGTAGTGGTCATTGAGTATCAAATACTGTAAAAGATAATAAATTATGAAAACCAAAAAGACCTTATGAAAAAAGGTCTTATGAAAACAAACGTGATTTTCACTACAAATCTAACCTGCTCTCAAATATCTCACTTGTGGCATCCTGAACTTAAGTTTTCTGTAAGGACATTGTAACAGTATGTAGAGATATATCAGATTACAGTTATTGTTTTGAGCAAAAGTGTAGTTAATTGACACACCTTGTGTGATTCATGCTAAAAACAGAACCTTGAGAGAATCTGATAAAATTAATAGAAGAAATCATGTTAAAACTCTCCCTGATAATTCAGCATATTGTTAATTAAAACAAACGTTTATTTGAAAAGGTCCCTCACTGCATAAGATCTGTTTGTCAGAAATTGCTGAGTTGTCACAGCAGAGATTGTTAAGAAGTGGTGTTTTCTCAAAATGGCCAAACCTTAAGGATGTCATCCAAAATCTAGATGTTTGGGTTTTTTTTTAATAGCTGAGCTGCTAACATTTGTACCTCTTTTCAGGAAGTCATCTTTTTAAAGTCTTTAATTTTCAATACTTTGTCTGCTTTTTCAGTACTATGTTTGCTTCGGTCCTAACTTGTGTTAATTTGGTTTTTGAGAGCTCTAGGTGTATTGAAGAACTCTTCATAGCCATGTATGGACTCCACCAGCAGCACATTCTACAATACCTAAACATTTTTGAAGACTTGCGACCTTTCAGGCTTCAGACTTGTTCTCAGGCTCAGTGTAAATGAATTGAAGCATCTGTCACGTGTGTACAGATCAGTGTTCATATGTATGACTATATAGTAGCCATGCATTAAAAGTAGTTAATTGGTGTAATGTAGTTGCTTCTAGATGTCAGAGTTTCCATTCCTGGTGAAAAGACTGACCCTGACTAAAATGGGGTAGGAACCTCTGTGCAGAGGGCAGTCCCTCTGGGAACTCTCTCCCAGGCAGTAGGATTAGAGGAAGCAAAGATAGAAGATGCCACATTATGTGCAAATAAGAGCATGCCATGTATTTTGGAAAATCTTCTCAACCTCCTTCTTCCTCCTCTGCGAAAGCTTCCTTCCCGTGCAACCTTTTTTAGTCTGATAGTTACTGGGACCACAAGATTTAGGACTGAGAAAAACAGAAAGCCTTTTTCTCAGACTGATCCCTTACGTTGCCTGAGGGAAGGGCCTTGCAAGAACAGTAGGGTACTGCCAGGGAATGCTGAGGGGAGATGCTATATAGGGGTTTATTTTTCCCTCCTTCATGTGCGGATTGTGGTTTCCAAAGAGGAATGTGATTTTGGTGTACGTGGTAACAATCCTCTGAGACATTAAGATTGTAACAGTCAACAACTTTCCACATCTAATGGTGATAGGACAAAAATGTACCCTCTTATTTCACGCGAGGAAGAGGCCAGAGAGACAGTAGGAAAAACCTTTCCAGCTTGAAGGATGGCTGTGCAGAGGATCAAGCTCTTTGGGAATGTTGGGGAATTTTCTTTTTAAGAACAGAACAGGTTGAAGTAGAGATACAAATACTGTCTCATTATTAGAGGACCTACTGAGGACATTGTGCCTGTGTTTCAAGTTTTCTACAATGGTAATAGAAAAAAAATGAAATCAAGGATGGTATGTAATAGAAGACAGTTTGGATAAAATGATTAGTAGTTTGGCAGATTGCTTTTGTAAGGAGCATTTTGGAGGAATCTTGAGCAGTGGCATTTGTCAGTGGCAGAGAGATACCACATGAATAGAGGATTGAACTGATTAAAGCCAAAATCAAGATTAATTTGATGATTGCATAGGGTCTATTGTAAAGAGGTCTCATTCAGAAAGATCAAGCAAGTTTTAGAAGCAGCTTTTGTATGGGAATTTAGGAAGAGAATTTAGTAAAAATTTTTGCTAGAATGTATGCAAGTAATAAGATACTAGATGGAGGGGAAGTAATCTGCAGTGAGAAGTACTGATGATTTGGGGCTCACACAATTTATAGTTTTAAGCAAATATAGTATGAGCTGTTCTATGGAAGAAGTAGTACAAGAAATGTAGCAACCATTAAGGTGTAAAAACGCATAAATTGTAAAAAATTTAATTATAAAAACCAGCACTTTGGAGCTTCTACTGAAGCGTGGTTTGTGTGTGTAAGATGCCTTTTCTGACTTAAATGATTTGAAAAAGTGAGTATCACCTACAGCTGTGAACTTCAGCTTTCTTTAGGGAAATAAATTCCTGTGTAGAATGCTAGGGCTTGGCTAGGTGGATAGAGGAGAAGCATTTGCATGAAATTTATTCATCCTCTGTCAGTTGTTTAAAATTCTCAAACCTGTTTCTAATTCAATAGAAAAGGGGTTTTGTTCATGATAGTTACTTATTGCCTTTCACTGGCAATTCCTCATTTTGTGTTTGTACTCAGATTCATGTTGCTAGATTGTTGACTTCTGAGTTTAATAAAGTCTTTTAACCATCAGTATGGACTGCAGTGTCTGAGATGAGGTTTCCTTTCGAAATGCAGTTCCCCGCAGACTTAGCAGCTTGTCTGCTATTTTCATACTAAAAGCATGAGAAACTGGTGGGCGGGCTGCTATTAAAAAGCACTTGTGCATTTTAAACAGAGTGATCAAACTCTAGGTTCCTGAAAGGGTGGATGAAATTCAAGCTTTGAAGCAGAAGTTCCTGGCCTCACATAACCTATTAACTGCCTGGGTTGGTTTTCCTTAGTCGAAATATGAAAATTACTTTTTCCCTGGGCTTATTCAAAACTGTAACTGGGACTTTTTAGTTGAAAAGCCTTTATAGAATTGTTATGTAACTTGCCGTATTTTAAATCATTTCTAGATAGACGACACTCCTTGGATTACAGAGCATTTCAGGCGCAATGGCAGATCCCATCCGCTGGGCGCGATACCGTTGGCAGCGACTGATATCAGCAGAGGGCAGAGAAAGCAGCAGCAGTAATTCAAGTGGCAAGTGCCATCAATCATCAAAAACTACTGGCAAACACAGGATAGTGATACCCTGTTTGGGACATTTTAAAGAAGAGTATGAAAAAGTATCCAAACTGTACATGAACAACAAAATACGGACTACTAAGTATACTTTATTGAATTTTTTACCACGGAATTTATTTGAACAATTTCACAGGTAATTAACTATTTTTGATTGTGGTAATTCTTCTGAAGTGAAATCTTTTTATTTAAATGTGTGTGTGTTACTTTCTATTCAAAAATTACTCTTCCTCCTGATCTGCTTATCACTTCTGAAAAGGTATGTGTTATTTGGCCAAAGTCTCTTAAATAGCATCAATATTGTAGTAATCCTTTTCTCCTTAGCTTATGTACTTTCCACTTATTTGATTCTTTGGACCATTGAACTATTTCTTGCTCTTGGAGCACTGCCACACACCAATCTGCAGTAGGATTTTCAGCTCATTTCCTGTTAATGTGTTTTTCCCTTTCCTTCACATCTATCTCTCTTGCCAATTTTTTTTTTAATTTTCCTTCTGCTTGGAGGACTGCTTATTTGTAAAGCTATGCAGGGAGATTGTAGGATGGCTTCCTTTTTAAGACATGCCATCTCCCCTAAGAGATGATAAAATTAAGCTTAAAAGACCTGGAAATTTGAGAGAGTGCAAGTTCACCAGGGCCTCACTAGAAAACATGTACCTGGAGGACAGTTTTGAAAATAAAGGAAATTTCTAGGTTTCTGTATTGTCTGGTCATGTATATTAAGCAACTGTGCAACTAAGTAATCTGTTGACTGGAGCATGAAAATAAAGTTCCGAATACTTAATTAATTTTAAATTGCAGTTGAGGTGAAGAAAAGGCAATTGCTGTTGACTTAAATATCTGTATAGCATGGAGTGCGGAAATAAGTATCACTGTCTGCTAGTATGGCTAACTCCTGTGTTTTCTCTTTGTTTCAGAGTTGCCAATTTGTATTTCCTATTTCTAGTTGTCCTAAATTGGGTTCCTCTGGTGGAAGCTTTCCAAAAAGAAATTACAATGCTACCTCTGGTAGGGGTTCTAACAATTATTGCAGTGAAGGATGGTTTGGAAGATTACTCAAGATACAAAATGGATAAACAGATAAACAACTTACTAACCAAAGTCTATAGCAGGTAAGAGACAACAGTTTTTGTGGTTTTTTGTTATTATTTGATTATGACTGTTATGTGAAAAGGTGTTGGTAATTCTTTTGATTTACTTTCCGAATACTCATAGAGTCATAAAATAATTTAAGTTGAAAAAGTCTCTGGAGGTCATCTAATCTTAACCCCCTGCTCAAGGCAGGGCTGTTTAGAGCAGGTTGCTCAGGGGCCAGTTGAATATCAATCCCTGGTTTTGCTAAATGGGTATCAAATTAGTGTCACATTTGCTGAAAAAAATTATTCTTTGAGGCATGTTCATGCATGAGTTTGTACTGTGTTAACCAAGGTACTTTGACTAGTTAAGCATTGTTGTACATAGCATTTGTTTTGAAAGGTGTATTTTTAGTTCCTCTGAAGTGTCTGTAAGCACCATGGAAATTCAGAGACTGCTAGTTTATCGCTCATCAATGGTGTCATGTTGTACTCATAATGTAATAACATTTGCCCAAACAGAATGAGATAATTTTCTACTTGAGTGCATCACAGTTTGGTACAAATGTAAACATCTGTTTCACAGTGCAGGACTGTGATATTACAGACTGTGGAAGCAAGTCAGGAGTGGAATCTGCTAGTGGAAAGAGATTTGCTGATAAGCAGTTATTATACAGGGATAATAAAAAGGAATGCAAACTGATCATATTCTAAGTTAACTGGCAAAAAATTCTTTTAGTGCACGTCAGTGCTGCCCACATAATTGTTTTTCTTTTATACCTGTCATAAAATGATATTCTGAGAATGTAAAGTACAAAGATAAAGGAAGTATGGTGAACCCTTTTTCTTTCTTGCATACTCTGTTTCCATGTAGGGAAACAAGTATTTTGGAAAATGTCACTTTTAATGTGTTATGGTAGCCATCACAAATAGCACCTGGAGAGGTGCTGGAGAGGAGTGATTGTGAGTTCAAAACTTAAACAAATAACATGCAGTAGTTGCTGTGGTAGGAAGCCACATTTAAAACGTCCTCTTTTCATTAAAGACACACCTTTTCGTAGTGAAGGCAATACAGTGAAAATAAACTTTTCTAAAATCTTAAAGTAATAGTTTAGATTTATGCCAAACCCTAAACTCTATACTCTAGATGTAACCTTAATTAGCCCATGCAACATATTTACAGTCTGGTATTATATAATTATTAAATGGAATGTGGTAGTTAGCAGATGGAATCTCCAGCATTCTAGCATTTGCCACACTCCCTTGGTACTTTAAGAACTAACTCATAACCATAAAAGTCTGGACAATCATATTATACCACAAAGAAAAAACAAACAGATTTTGTTGGCAAACACAAATATATATAACAGCTTTCCCAGAAACATTCTATTCAATCTACAAAAATTTGAGCTTAAAACCAGTAAGAAATTGGGCTATTATGGAAGATAAATGTTTTCTTTCTTTTTCATGTCTACAGAAAAGATTTAAGGGAGAAGCTGTATTATTTCTGGCTAAATCTTCGTGTACCCTGAAAGAATTCATTGCCAGAAAGCTTAAGCATTTGGTAGTCGTATTCCTGAAGACTCTGTGTTACTCCTAATCTCATACCAATGTTAATGAAACAGAATTAATTTCTGATCTTCTGGTCTGGCTTGATTTTTTTTCCTCCTTCATCAAAAATGTGTAATAATCAGCGGCCATATTAGTCATGTGTGAAAATTTCTTATTGTGCCTATAAATATTTTGGCGTCATAACTTTTTCTTCTCCTTAGTTTTGGTCATGAAGTATTTTATATAGCCTAGTCTGGTTTTAAAAATAAACTTGGAGGCATGGTTCAGGAGAATTAAATCTTATTGGTACAAAAAATTATTGTTCACTGCATGTGAACAATATGCATGTGATTTATCTTAAATTTCCATTAATCTCACATTAGGATTCAGAATTTCTTAACTTTTTTGACAAGAATCCCCTGTTCCAGTGCATGCATTTTATCAAACATTGTAAACAGCTAGGTAATTTTGAATACAAACATGATAAACAGCTAGGTAATTTTGAATACAATTTCCAGTAATTTTCTTGCTGTGCATTTGTTCATGTAGAGAAATTGTATATGTATATGTTGTATGTTCTGTCTGTGATTTCACTTACACATCAGATACTGATACCTACAAGGTTTCCATGTGCCCAATACAGCGGCTCTTTTTGCTATCTCAACATAACTAAGCAATGGTTGTCATGCTTGAAAGCTGGTAGGCCACCTGTTTGTATCTGAAGATAATTGGAGTGATGAAGCATTTTCAGGAAGACCAGTGATCCTTGCTTCTTGAACTCTTGTGAGGCTTGCTTCTGTGCGAAGTTAAGGGTTTCCATAATAAAACCCAGTTTCACTGTGCTCTGTTCTCCATGATAAAACGTGACGGTCTCAGTGCCTTGGTAGGTCTATATGAGCACCTAGATGTTAGTTCCTCTGCTTTTTTGACACATCTGACACCACCCCCTACTTCTTAATTGCTTTTGCTTATAATAAATGTCTGACATCCATAGTTTCAGAGTTTTCAACCTGCTACTTTTTATAGCTGTGGATTTTATCCATTTGATGGATCAGAATTATTTGGCTGATATGTTTTTCCTCTCTTCTTCTCTCTTCTGCAGAGCTCTCAAATATATTTCTTTTTCATTGCCAACCTTTCAAGTAGATGTGTTGTAATTACCTTTCTTTACATGTTTATGCAAATCATTGTATATATTTGGAATTCAGATATAATTTAATTATCAGCTTTTCTTTGTGGAATTGAACTCTGTAAAGAAAAATCATTTCTATGAGATTCTTTCTTACTTTTTTCTTTTTCTCCCTGACTCCAGTCTGGCAGAAAGAAAGTGGGACTCGTTCAGATGCATCAAGTAAAAAGAAGCATCATACATTTTCAGTCTAATGTTTAATAAACAGGTAGTGATTTAGAAGAGGAAATATTTTTCCATCACCTGAGGGCTAATCTTAACACTGGTAGCATAAATGAATAGTTTTTTGTATTTTTTTTGTGAAATACATAGTAGTTAGAAAAAAATACAGGAATGTGAGAGTACCAGTATTTTGTACTTTTTAAAATGTCTTGTAAATAATTACTTCAGGAATAAATCAAAGGGTTGCTTTGTCACAAGGTCTATAATTTCCAAATGTTTCTGTGGTTTTGGAAATTTTAATTCACTTTGAAAAACCTCTGTAGAAGTCAGGGACAGTAATTGACAACTATTCACCTGATATTTTTATCTTACTGCATTAGTGATGCCATTGCTTTCTTTGCTTATGATCTTATTTTGTCTTGCTTACCTTTCTGTTTCCACCCTTTCTCTAACTCTTCTGGATGGAAGCTGGCCAAGGAAGTAATCGTCCACTGCCCTCATGGGTTCTCAAATGCTTTCCATGCTGTTTGGAGGGTGAGGTAAAAGGTTGCTGTTTTGGAGTGACCAGGGCATTTGCTCCAGTTGGTGTTACACCCTGATGGAACTCACTTGGCCTTCATAGTGGTGTAAATTGGCCTACACAGAAAGTTATACTGATTTAGGTTTTTTTCTATACCTGAAGGGTAGTTCTAAGCAAACAAAGAAAAATCACTAGTCTTCATATCTCTGTCTCCTGAATAGATTTACTTTGTCAGCAGATTTGCAGCTGTCAAAGCCTAAGTCATACCTTCAGTAAGTGAGAGTCGTATTGTATTTTAGCAATTCTTCCTATTCTTTTACTGTTTGCCTCTGTAAGTGGTTTAGAGTTGGTTAATTTACTTTAGAACTTTTTCCTTCAACTCTTTTTTTCCTTGTCTTTATTTCAGTGGAGATGTACTGGTATGAAAAGTTGGTTCCTGCAGTTCTTTTAATCCATCCATCTTCTGATAGACATGGCTATAGCTTTAAGTTATACATGCTTTCCATTGTGCCAGTGTTCCATCTGTGTAGAAAACTAGTGATGAGCATCTCAAAGAGAAAACAGTTGTGCATTATATCACTTTAATTTTTGTCAACTTTTGTTGCTTCCTGATTTTGCTTTGTTTGCACTTTGAAAGCAATATAAACATTTCCGTATCTTCAGTGGAGAAAGTGTCATCATTACATTGGTTAAATATGTGGGCTTTGTGCCATCTGTTTGTAGACAGGTATTTTCTAAGGGGTGCTGTCAGGTGATGCAGGTCTGAAAACTATGGGTGCAAAGCTCGATACAGGGAATATTTTTCTGATATTTTCTTTGTCATTAGGAGTGTCTGTTTCTGTTTCAGTAGAAAATGCAGCCCGAGCCATACACCAGTCTGGATGACTGAGAAATGAAGACTGGGGAGAATATGTGCTCCTCTCTTTAGACATAGTTCTTAGGTTAGTGCGTGCAAGGCAGAAAACAAAGCAGTCACTGGGGGCAGTAATAGTTTGTACAAAAACCTACTCCAGACCTTTGCAGTCTTTGAACAAGCCGCTGTAGGTGTGTTTCATCCACCCACATTGCATTAGCCTGCTGCTGTGTGCCCCTGGCTCACTCCTTAATCACTCTTTGTTGCTTTTTAACCCGCATCCTATTTGCCACTCTAAGCCTCACTGTGTTTGCAATGAACTACTGTGATTATACATTAAAGGAAAATTCTTCATCCCAGCTGAGGACAGAGCAGCAGCTATAAATGGAAAGTTGAAAACAGTTCAAACTTATTTAATTCATGCCTGGATATTTCACACTAATAAAGAATTTCAACTCAAAGCTGACAGGCATGAGCTTTTATTGGCTTCACTGAGTATTACATAGTCGTGGTACCTTCATAGAGTCATAGAATGGTTGAAGGGACCTTAGAGATCGTCTAGTTCCACCTCCCTACCATGGGCAGGGAGACCTTCCACTCGACCAGTTTACTCAAAATCCCATCCAATCTGGCCTTGAACCTTACATTCAAAAACTAATGAAAAAAAATGCTTTAAAATTCTGTAAAGACAAATATTTATATTCAGAGTATCAGTGAAGTTGTTGCTGAATATTCTTTGCTTACTGATAAATGTTCATTATTTTGGGAGACAGACATTTTTGAAAGGCCTTATCAGAAGAGATTAAGCTGTTCTTGGTTGCGTAATTGCAGGAAAAAGTGAAGACCTGAAGAGAAATACTGAAAACACTCTTTCCTTTCTTGGAATGATGAATATACAGGAAGCAAGTGTGTTGAATTTTAAATAGAGCTGAAATATTTCTCAGAGGGTGTCTTGAATGTAATTCCCAGAAAAATGGCTTGGACTCCAGAGTTGATTCTTTGTAATTATATTCAACTTGAGCTGAATGCACTATCCTATCAGAGTTTTTTTAATGGTTGGAAGGATAAATAGTTATTTGAGACATTTTCTAATTACAATGTGTTTGTCTGAACTTTCAGATTATGCATTTGTAAAAAGTCACTGTTGTTCTTTGTATTTCAGGAAGGAGAAGAAATACATAGATGAATGCTGGAAAAATGTCAATGTTGGGGACTTCGTCCGGCTTTCACGCAATGAAATCATTCCTGCTGACATGGTACTGTTATATTCCAGTGACCTGGATGGGATCTGTTACATTGAAACGGCAGGCCTGGATGGAGAAACCAATCTGAAGCAGAGACAGGTGGTGAAAGGATATGCAGAGCAGGTGATAATTGTGTGTTTCTAGTCGTGTAAGAAAGTTGACATGACAGATGGTCAACTAAAACAACCCAATCAATTCAACCCTCTGCATTACCTGATTCATGATAGCTGAGCAATCCGCATCTGAAAACAAAGTTATTAGGTAACAGTTATAATTTGTTGCTTGAGTTGTTTTGGAGCAAATATTTATGTGTGCACATAACCCAGAGAAAGACAGATCTATTTAAAGTTCCAGCCAGTGAAATTAACTGTTCAGGTAAATGTCCAGAAGTCATGTATGATGTGTAGCATGCCTTGGGTGAGAAATTTGAGTTTTTTAGAAGGGGCTGTGCTGTATAAAGACCTAAAAAGAAGAGCAGATATTAGCTTCTCTTTCACTCTTTTTTCGTATTTCAAATATAATGTTACTCCATACAGTACTTTAATGTTATACCTAGCAGTAAAAATGTTGGAGACTGGCACAAAGGAGACAATATCAAAAGATCAAAGAATCCTGTCATTTCTGCAGTCTTCAGCACACTTGGTACTGAGTTCTGCTGCTGAAACACCATGATGAAAACAGCAGCAAGGAGACTGAATGTTGTCCCCATAACAACAGACTGTTTAGTCCTCTGAAGATAAAGTACCTGAACTACCTCTGAATGTTCAGCAATGGTGAGGAAGTGAGAAGTAGTCTCTAAGTCCCATTACTTAGTGGGTCTGGTAATACCAGAGGCACGATGTGCTATCCATGAGGGTTAATCCACTTCAGGTAAATACAGTGCAACACATCAATAGAGACAAACAGTAAAAATTTTTCAATCAAGCCAACAAAGTACTTGCTAATACTATGATGTCTTCTGAGTTTCAAATTCTACTTACAGGATTGTGTTGTAAGCTCACAGTTGCTATTCTGGCAGTGTGAAGTCATGCAGTTGAGGGAGTACAGCCTTCTCAGAAACCTGTAATTATGCAGAAGATGTATTCTGTAATACCTGTGAATTAATGATTTATACCTGGAAGTTTGAAACTTTAAGTTGTGTATTTGTGTTTTCTAAACAGTAGAATGAATGACTTTCCAAAGAGTTAGTGGCGGGTACTCAACTTGGAAATGACTCAGTTATACCCAAGGCTAGCCTGTGTTATACTGGAGCCTAGAGGCATAGTCATATGCCGTTAACTGAAATTAAATTGCAATAGCAGGTAATTCCAAAGATAAGGCCTTTTGGCTTTTCTCTTACTTCTTGTCGTGCTTCATTCTCATTAATGCAGGATATTTGTTTTGCTTGGCTTTTCTCATTAGGAACATGTACCTCTGGCCTTTTATAACAGCCCTTTCTTTGGTACTCATAAATCTCAAACATCATTACAAATTTCTACCTGCTTTCTTTGTGTTAGCACAAATAGCATCCTGGTCATGGTATTGGGAAAAAAAATGCCTGTGCAAGAAATACTGCTTGCAGAAAAGATGATGCCTCTTCTTTTTTTTTTTTTTTTTTCCATATAATTAAAAAAAAACATGTAAAATCTCTTCCTTTTAGATGTTCTTACTGGTTTTGTTGTTTTCTTCTTCCTCACTCTTCCACCCATTTTCTCCTCTCCAGTGTTCTCAGAATATCAGCAATGCAACTGATACTTGTCAGGGTTTGATATTTACTAGGAAGTCCTCCTATGATTTTTAAGTCTGATATATGCAGGATAGGAAACCATCAACACCACCAGCAACCTACAGTTTCAAAGCTACATTGTTAGATAGTCATATCTGAACCTATAAATTTATGATGTTCTCTGTTTTGTTTTGGTTTTTTTTGTTCTTGGGGCTTTAGGTCTCTGAGATTGACCCAGAGGAATTTTCCAGTAGAATAGAGTGTGAAAGTCCCAACAACAACCTCAGTCGTTTCAGAGGCTTTGTGTAAGTAGGCTTGATGGCTCTTTAAACTATTGTAATTTGCTTTGACATTCTTACTTATTTGCAGAGAGCTTGTAATATTTGTTTTAAAAAATAACAATATGGATAGAGGTCTCTTTGCACCACTACCTCTCTGAGGGTAACCCAACAGATAGAGCTCCAGAAGGGTTTTCTGAGAAGCAGATGGTGAACTGATGCTTTTTATTTTGTATTGAATATTTTTAACATCTTAGTTCATGCTGTTTTGCAGTTGTGTATTTCATACTTGAAATAGCTGTTTCAAATCTTCTCTTAATAATGTGTGACCTCTACAGTATTTGGTCTGGATCGTGGCCTGATTGGGCAAGCTGCATTGCTCAGAGTTGGAAATCCAAAGGACTGGCTTCCTTTCCTATTCTGATTTGTTTTCTGTAACCATCAGTCACTTGATCAAACTCCTTTTGACCAATGTGCCTATCTGTAGTTTTTTTCTTCAGGTAAAGTTCATGGTTAGGGTTAGGGTTAGAGTTGGTAGAAACCTTAAGGAACTAGATGATCTTTAAGGTCTCTTCCAACCCCAGCCATTCTATAGGTTCTTAAACCTGTTCTTACAGGTTTATGATTTTCTATAGACAGTAGGAAAACAAAATGCTGTTTTATGGGGTAACTGATTTTCAGGTTTTGGGAGTTATAATGTCTGTATTCTTCCCTTTGCACACTGACACACTGGATATTTGAGAAGAAAAATAAATATATTTGAATCTTAGTCTGAGGAAACACCTTGTCAGTGGGCCTGCCTGCACTGAAAGTATACCACAGGAGTGATGATGCTTACAATATGTTTAAAATGAAATTTTCTATTTTCTTTTTTTTTTTTTTCTGATGCTGGTAATCCAAGTAGAAGTTACAGGGTTTCAGTGCCTACTTCTCATAAGACAACTGGCAAATTCTGGGATTGTAAACACAAAAAAATTGTACTGCAGTGCCTTCATGCTTGGATTCTTTTGAAAAATCCAATCAGTAATGTCAGAATGGGGATCAGTGACTAGGAGCTTCTTTGGGAAATGTGCTCCCTAATGGTTTTGCTGTAGTGTTTTGACCCTGACAAGATGCCAGGACCCTATTAAATCCAATCCACTACCTTCTCTCCTCTCCTCTGCAGCTGGACAGAGGAGAGGAAAAAAAACTGAAAAGGAATTTCAAGAGTAGAGTTAAGGATTGTGAGAGAGGCAGTTGTTAACAGGCAAAACAAACTCAGAGTGAGGATAAAACTTAGATTTATTACTAACAGAATAAGATTTAAATCAACTACTAACAATTACTAACAGCTTTTAACTGAAATCGCCCTTGTAGCCCCCACCACCACTACCAGAAAAACAACAAAAACCAACCACAGAAACCCACAACATTTGCAAAACCTGACTGGTAACTGCTGGAGTCCTGCAGCTGACATGATGTGCTTTTTTTTTTTTACAGTGAGCATTCAAACATGGATCGAGTGGCTCTCAGCAAGGACAATTTACTCCTGCGAGGATGCACAGTAAGGAACACAGAAGCTGTTGTAGGCATAGTGGTTTATGCAGGTTAGTGAACCACCCCTGGCTTTCACAGATCACCTTGCAAACAAGATAGTTATGTGCCCTAAGAAACAGTATTGTACAAATGGGGAGTGGGAGAGTGAAAGCTTGAATCCAGCGGAAGGCAGCTGTAGCTAGAAATGTTAAGAACTCATGTCTGGCGGAAGTTTGTTTCTGGTTTAACAATGTAAAAAAACTGATATGCCTAATTATTACTAGAAGAACAGATCTGTTGTGTGTGAACAGGCCCTTGTCCTTAACTATTACTCGCAATGGTAAACCCAGGTTTTGAAGTGAACATGGAAGCGCTTGGCTTATTTAGGATTTTTTCTTATCTGAAACTGAAGCTAGTGCTGTTCTTCGGTGTTCTACATCAAAGGGCAGAGGTTTCTAAGCTAATCTATGTGATGTATCCAGCCAGACAGTTGTGACAGAGATGTAGGATTTTGTAGAAAACACTAGAATATAGAAGGGTCAAGAATGAGGTTGTTTCCGTAGGAAGGAACATTAGTGACAAAAGTTAATGTACACATGAGACAGATTTTGATTTAGCTTGTTGAGTTTTTACAACAGAATTCTTGCATTGTAGGAGAAATTAATTTCCTCACATTTATAATCACTGTTGAAATATTTGTCAAAAGAAATATTCTGTTTCCCAGAGCCTTAGAAATATAAAGGACCTGTGGTTCGGATACCTGTCATTAGAGAATTTCAACCTGTTTTTTGGTTGCAGGTCATGAAACCAAAGCCATGCTGAATAACAGCGGCCCTCATTACAAGCGCAGTAAATTGGAAAGAAGAGTGAACACTGATATTCTTTGGTGTGTTCTTCTTCTAATTTTGATGTGTTTAACTGGAGCAATAGGTAAGTGAGAATCAGCAGACTCCTACTATTTTCCTCTCTCAGCTTAGTGTTTTATTTTGGAGCTGATTCATTTTGTTGGTCTTTATCCATGTGTAATTCCTTAAAAATTGGGGGCACTGCCAGACTTTAGTTCACGTTGTCATGTTTAATCTGTGTTGTGGTTGAGAAGTATATTCCTGTTGTGAGTTCTTATGTCTGGAACCTGTTTCTCCGGTTGATTTCTCTTTTCTATCACTACTGCCCTGCAGAACTTCTACTTTCTCTTGGGATTTTTCAGGTAATGGGAGATGCATGTACACATTGAGGTGAGAGACCTAGCGTGACTAGAGTTGTAACGATTTGATATTTTAGGAATTGATTAAATGGTGACCTTGAGTGTATCTAAACAGACTAACTTTTCTGACAGATCATAAAGGTGTTTACAATATGTTTAAAAATACTTCTTCAGACTACGCTTAATAATGGTGACATGATGACGTGTTCACAGGCAGACTAAAACCTGAACAAGCAAGGATAGCAATTAATTGTCAGAGGCGTTTTTTTGGGGAAAAATAAATGTTTGTGAAGTGTAGTTAATATTTCCTTAGTTCTGAGATATGCTGTATAGATGTGCTGTTGATAAAAATGTATGTAAGGTATTTTTTCTATGCATTTATATTTGGGTTCTTGTTGAAGAAATAAACAAGAAAAAAAATGGTAGTTTAAAATCTTAGAAAGGACTGCAGAGTATAACAGGTAACACAACGACCCTGAACTGTGATACAGTTTACATAAAACTGACTCACTTCATCTTGTTCTTGTTTTCAAGGCCATGGAATTTGGTTAACGAGGTATTCGGAAATAGCTTTTTTTAACATCCCCAAGCCAGATGGGAAATTGGTTCCTCCAGTATTAGGAGGGTTCTATATGTTCTGGACGATGATAATTTTATTACAGGTAATTTAAGTCTGCTTTGAACATGGGTCATATTCTGATCTCATTTATACCCTTGAAGTAACTCTTTAGCTTCAGTAGAGCTACTTTATGTTTGTAACTGGCCAAAGACTTTGGGTTTATTTAATCCCCATGTTTTATTTTGATAGGTCTTGATCCCAGTTTCCCTCTATGTTTCAATTGAAATTGTCAAATTGGGACAAATCTATTTAATACAGAATGACATTGATTTTTACCACGAGAAAACAGACTCAACTATTCAGTGTCGAGCACTGAATATTGCTGAAGACCTTGGCCAGATTCAGTATATCTTCTCTGACAAGACTGGAACCCTCACTGAAAACAAGATGGTTTTTCGGAGATGCAGCATTGCAGGACGGGAGTATTGCCATGAGGAAAATGGTAAGACACTAAATCTGTGTTCACATGGGTCATTTTTCCAACATGATACCATGTTGATACCATGAACAAAATATCCTTTACTTGCTCTGGAAGAAGTCATGACCACCATGTTTTGTTTCTCTCCTTGGAATATTCAGAAGCCAGAACACTGGAAAATTGCCCATCTAGTCTTTCCTCTCTTTTTTTTTTTTCCCAACTAGAGTGCCAGTGCTAACCTAGCATTTTAGGGTTTACACATACAGTTGACTGAGATAGCAGTGTACCAGCTTTATGTAGGGTATCTTAAGGCTCCAGTTCCACTTTTGCCCTTGAAGATATGGTAATGTAAATTAATTACATGCTTAACAGTATAATACATTACTTAACAGTAATTTTAAAGTAGGAGTCAATCACGTGTGTGTGTACATGTGTGTGTTAATGCTGCAAAGATAAGTATCTCCATCAAAAGTGACTGTTGTATTCTTACTTATATCTTACACACCTGTTTATTCTTAGCCAAAAAGTTACCAAGTGGTGTTAACGGAGAGTTGCTGTCTTGCTGTCTAAAAGTGTACCATCTTTCAGTATACATTCCATGAGAGCCAGCCTGAAGCCTTATGTGAGCCAGGAAAAGATAGAACTCCAGACACAAGAGAAAACCTGGACAGAGTGATCTGGACAGAATTATTTAATTAGCTATTTTATTAATTATATAAAACCACAAAGTTTTTATTACGGTCACCATGTGTAAGTACTAGTGGCTGCAGACCTTTGCTCTTTTTCTGGTGGGAAGTGCAAGCATTCCACATGAGATCAAAGGTGAGGTGCTCACAGGTGGGCACATGAAGCACAGCTGTGTATTAAACCCCCTTTGTGGTATTGGTGGGTTTGCTGCCAGATGGAACTACTCACAACTGCGAGCAAAAGGCACACCCTGCTGGCCACAGCAGTGAATCAGTTCAGCCCTTCTTTTGCTGTATCACAGGACCAGATGGTTGCAAACAAATTTTACAGCAATTTCTGCACATATTTTGAAAGTGTTATGGTGTGAGTTTCCAGATAATTCTTTAGCTTTGCATGATTTTACTGGGAAGGATGACTACAGTAAAGTGAGAAGAAATATTTTTAAGTCTCAAACTTGGTGAATGAATAACTTAAATAAGAAGTAGAATGTATTTTCAGAGCATTTCCTAAAGGAAGGAAAAGTATTTTAGAACAGAAACCAAAAAGTAGTGTGAATGATGCAACTGTAGCTGATTCAGGTCTCAGTGTGCCAGGGAAAATATGTCTACATGTACTTCTCTGTGTAGTTCACATAGAGTTATCTTCCAAAATTATTAGTGTGTTAGTTATGTTCATAATTATTTCCTCCTGCACCCTGTCTTTTTCCTAGAGAATAAACATAGATTTCTTCCTAACAAATTAGAAATTATATGAGCCCTGAAAATCGCTTTATGAAACCTTGGAGGTCCTGTGGTTTAGCCCTGTTTTGTATTTGTTCAGTTGCACAGAGCTGCTGCTTGCAAGGCTCCTGCTACACATGGTAAGAGTTGCAGTACCACACAGTACGGTCTTTTGCGTACAAGCCACCTAGTGTGGCCATTTATCTCTGTGTTTATATCTGCATTACCCAGGGTAAAGGGATGCACATGAGGGAAGCACACAACAGCAATGCCTGTGATTCAGTATAATCCTCCATATAGGTGCCCCCATGCAGTGTTCTTTCTAAGGTAACATGTGCCTCTTGGACCATGTAGAGCAGTAGAGCTGTGTGGTTTTACAAGAGGTGTTACTTCAAACAGAGCATGCAGTTCTTCTCAACAGCCCAGAAGCATAGTGGAATGGGCTTGTTGTCCAAACCTGCTTCTGCAAACACGTACTAAGTCACAGGTGTTGCTTTCCAGTAAAAGGTATCAATGCCTCATATGGGATGTTGTATTTGGTAGTTGTGGAGAGCCACAGTTTGTTATGTTCTCACCAATCCAGTTTTTTTAAAGAATTATGTTACTAATTTCATGTGGACATCAGGGAGATGGCCTGCCAAGGAAGGTGTAAGCTCTGATCTCTCCGCTTTCCTTGGCTCATCAGAATGGCAAGATGAGAGACAGGATTCTTTCATTTATGTTCCAGAAACAGAAGATAACAGGAAATATGGAAAACTTAACTGGCTAGCAAATCTGGTACCTCGTTTCTGGAACATAGCTAAGCTCCTGTGCTTTGCTAGGAGGAAAAGGGCTCATAAGTTACGTAATAAACCTATTTCCATCTCATTTTGAGCAGCAGAGCTGGGCAGTGAACTGTGGATAGGTTTTATGTTTGCGTAAAACAGAATAATACCACACTTTTCACTTTTTTCCTGTACTGTAGCTACCACTTGAAATAAGAAAGAAATAGGGAATTAAAGGTGTTACTGGACAAATCAGTGTGTTAATAATGTGTTTTTCCAAGGCTGCCATTGTTTGTATTCATACCTCAATGAAACAAATATGCGACACACAGTCCTCAGAACAATTTTTCCAATTTTTCTGTGTTCTCTGTGGATTTTAGGCACTGAACTGCTAGTGTATGCTCATTGCATGCGGTTTTCAGACTGAGAGGTAAAATGTTGAAACCTGAATAGTGTACACTGATCCAGTGCTTTCTGGATTCAGATTTCAGCTTGAGTCGTATGGTTAAACGCTGTTTGAGAACACCAGTGCAAACACTTAAGTATGTTCTTGATCAAGCGCACGATAGCATAGGAGTGTTTCCATTTGCTACAGTGGTTCTTTACAACACTGACCTTCCTAGCTAGGTTTGTGGGGCACAGAGCCACATTCATATCTGTGGTGCAACTATCCTTCACTTGAGACTATTATTTGGCTCCCATCAGTTTGCCCTTCTGAAGGCTATGTAACTCCAGCTTATTTTATTGTTTCCATGTAGCATACGTTGTCTAGAAACCTGATCATTCTTGCTTCCTCCTCTGGATTCACTCTAGTGGAATGTTGTTCCTAAAGTGCAGTGTTTCAAACAGGAAGTCAGAGTGATGGCTTCTTACAGGTTACGGACTAACGGTGGATTATTCTTAACTATATATTAAATTCCCTACTTTAAAATTTTGGTTCCTGAACCTTTAGGCAGTGTTTTAGACAAGTTTCTTTTTGCTCATGGAACAATAATTTTTTTTCTCCTTCCCTAGCAAAGAGGTTGGAATCCTATCAAGAGATGCATTCAGAGGATAAGGATTCAGTTGATTGTCAATGTGGCTCTTCATCACATACGTCAGAATGGCAGAGGCACAACTGCAGAGCTGTGTGTGAACCTTTGAACAGAAAGTCTGTGAACCGGTTGTCTGGTAGTTACCCTGCATTCATAAGGGAAGATGGAGCAGGTGGTGGTCCCCACTCAGGACACATGGCTTTCAGCAGTCCCATTGTAAGTAAAAGCTGTTGGGTTTGATGCTAAATTTCTGAAGTAACTCATTAAGGAATATCTTTTTACCCCCCATTTGATCAAGAGTGCTTGTCATTTAAGAAATCCCCTCTCTCTTCCATCGAAATCAGAGCCTGTCATGATGGCTTGGCAGCATACTATTTGCAGCTGGGATTGCAGATGCTCATTGGATAATAAAGGTGTATGCTTTGTTTCTTGCTGCTGGTGAATCCATGACCACTCCAGCTGAAATTGCAAGCTTCATCTTAATAACAGTTTGTTCTTTTATTTTAAGAAGTTTCTAGAATTTTCTTTTGTTTTTAATAGGAAATATTTAGATGACCAATATTTATTTCAGGTTATGAGAGGCAAATGCTTCTTTACCTGAAGGTATCTAAATAGCATTCATCATACTTAATCTTTGTTGAAGAGTCTGTGAACTGAGACCTTACTGTTTACCTCTTTGAGCATGAAGTTTTCCATTTTCAATGGACAAGCATAAGGCAGTGAAAGTGCCAAAGTGTTTCTCTGTTTCCTAGTATAAGCAACTATAAGCACAGGAGAGAAGTTGTTCAGTCATTCATCTGAAACTGATTTAACCTCCAGAGACTGAGATTAATCTTATAACCTGATGGACAGCTTTTTTCATTTCATAATAGGAAACGGATGTGATACCAGACACGCAGCTGCTGGAGAAGTTCAGTCAAATTTCTTTTCATTCCTATCAACAGTCAGAAGAAGCTAGCAGCAAGTTATCTTTGGAAACAATGTACATCACTGACTTCTTTCTTGCTCTGGCAATCTGTAATACTGTTGTAGTTTCAGTCCCCCATCAGCCACGTCAGAAGGTAAGAAGGCTTTATTTTTGGCAATTTGGCCATATTTACAAATAACCAAGCTCCATTTTGGTTTGATTACAAAAGTAAGAAAACAATTAACTGACATTAAAAGAATTATCCTTTTCTCCTCTTTGTCCTGTTAGAAAAAGAGGGGAATTACTGTAAACCTGTAGAGTGCAATGAGTTAATGTACAAAACAATGTTAGTAACTTGGCTTCCAAACTTTTGTTTCTGTGTATAGACTGTTCATAACTTTTACAAGACAAATTTTGAGATTGAATTGCCATTGTATTTTTTTTCCCATAATCTGGAGGTTTTTTTCTAGATATGGGGACAGCTTCCTTTAAGAATACATTAACACTCAGGCTACCTTTACAAATAGGTTACTCTTGGCTGAAAGATAAAAATAATCTCAGAAAATTCTTAGAATATTGGAACTAAGAATGCTCTTACCCGTTCCCTGACTATTCAAATAAAACTTTGGCAAAAATAAGAACAAGGGTTTTATGTGTATTAATCTGAAGAAAAAATGCTTTACAGTATGACATACACGAGTCTCACCTTGAATTAACAGTGTGTTTGTCAGACTGTCCTTGTTCAGTAATCTGGAGTGACCACATGTTGTTTTCAAAGCACACAAGCAACTTAACTTTATATTTAAAGATACTACTATATTTTTCAGATCTTTGGGGTTTTTTGAGGGTGGGATTTTCATAACCCCATTTTTTTCCAGATTTGACTGTGTTGCAGGATAAATCTCGAGTTCAGCTTTGATTTCCTTCCCCCATTCTTTAGTGATTTCCATTTGTTAACTTTGCCTTTTGAAAAAAATATTAGTGATGCACAGGACTAGATTTTTGTGTCCATCTAGGCAGTGAACCTACAGCCATGGCTAGAGACATTCCCAAAACATATCCTATGGTACTTCCAGTGTATAAATAAGCCTAATATTTTACTGTGCTTCCAAGCATTCCCAGAAAGTGTCGTAGGAAGCCTAGAGGTCCATATATGGATGAGACACCTGAGTTCAAAGCTTACAGTTAGCTATTCCCAATACACTATAGAGAAAAATATACAGGTGAGAGTGTGCGGGTGAATATTCAGAAATATTCAGAGATATTTCTGAATACCTTGCTGGCAGAGTAGAAGCACTAGTAAGTAGGTTGAGAAGAACAATGTAGCATGAGGTTTCTGAGTTCACAATTAAGGAACGAATGAAAGAGCTCAAGGAAACGGCAAATTTCAGTGTCATGTTAGGGAGAGGCAGTGTTCCTAGTCTCTATTTCCATGATGTTGAATGGAGGCACATTACTTGCTGGAGTGGTGGTAGGACTGAAGCCACAGTCTGTCTTTAATTTATGCTTTTCAGTGGCAAAGATAACATGCTTTCTGTAACTCATTCTTAACTTTTCAACAGCAATGACAAAGGAGTGTCAGGCTTGCATGCCTTGTTCCTCCATTTTAAGCTGTCAGCTTCCTAACTGTTTTAAGTAACAGGAAGCTAATTATTTCGTAACATTGAGGAAATTTAAAACATTGAAAAAGTATTGATAAGGTACTGTATTTTTAGCAAGTCTTGTAGCTAGTTACTGTGAGGGATATGGAGTTGGTTTATTCTTCACAAATATCTTCTAATTCAGAACAAGGATTAAAGTGTTCAGTTCAGTTTGCCACAACTTTTAAAAGTTACAATGTCATACTAACTCTTTTCATTACTGGAAGTTCTAAAAAGAAGTATTGCATTGAGTCATGAATCAAACTTGAAACAGATACATTTTTCAGACCTGAAGTGTTTTTACAGCTTAGAAGGAGCTGTTTAGTGTACTTGTATGGTTATATGTTTACTGGAGCTGCCCATCTTTAATACAGGAAGTCAAACTCGTGGTAGATTTTAAAATACTGCATTCATTGAGAAACATGCATAGTTTGTAAGCTGTCTTTCTTTAATATAATAAAATATGAAGAATTTAACATAAATGCTTTCTCTAACTATTCTTTTCCAGATGAGACTCTCTTCACTGGGCAGGATGCCTATTAAATCACTTGAGGATATCAGACAGATGTTCCAGAGGCTGTCAGTCCGGAGACTGAGTTCCTCCCCTCTTCCAAGTGTGAAGGAGTCATCATTTGAAAGCCCCAATAGTTTTGTGAGAAAACTCTCTATTTTCAAAATGAAACTGGCCTCACCTGCTTTGAATGGAGCTGCTCAAAGGGCTGGTGAACCTCATAGTACTGACAGCCCAGAAAATTCCCAAGCGCCTCAAGAACTAGATATGGTGAATGTAGCTGCTGGCTGTGAACCCAGCAGTGCTGTGTCATCTACTGAGTTATCCCCCCTACCTAAACTGTGTTATGAAGCTGAGAGTCCAGATGAAGCTGCTTTGGTTCATGCTGCTAGGGCTTATAAATGCGTTTTACAGTCTAGGACTCCAGATCAAGTAACTGTGGACTTTGCAGGTCTGGGATCTTTAACGTTTCAGCTTTTGCATATCCTACCTTTTGATTCACTGCGGAAAAGGATGTCAGTGGTGGTTCGGCATCCAGTCTCCAACAAAGTGGTGGTGTACACAAAAGGTGCAGACTCAGTCATGATGGATTTGTTGAGAACTGCATCTGAAGGTATCTACAGAACTTGTAATTCTTTACTCACCTTGTACATTCTTCAGTACAGTTGAAAGATGGCATGATTCATGAGACAAGTAAGCAAGCAGAACAGTTCCTGTAGGGAGCCCAGAAAGGTAGCATTGCATGTCACCTAGATATATCTGTGCTGTGTGCTGGTGTGGGAACTGAGAAGAGAGAAGAAGCTGTTAATCAAAGGATTTAGTGGTGTCTTAAGCAGACCCTTTGGAGCCAACTGAAGTATTTCCAGTTGCAAAGTAAGGTCATCTGCATGAATGTTGACTTCTGCTACACAGTGAGTGGTCTTTATTAGAATGAGATACTCTCTAGCCTTTAGTGTTTCTCAGCTTTTGGAGAGCTCTCAGGGCTTTTTGATTTTTTTTTTCCCCTTAGCTACTTATTATTTCTGTGTTTCTAGATGTAATAATAATAATAATATCTGCTGAGCCCTGTTGTGTAGGTGTAAATGTTTCTGAATGGGCTGCAGGAGGGATGCACCATGCATGTTGTTTAAGCTCTGATTTATTCATAGACTGTTACAAACAGTCACTAATTTTTAGCTGAAGAGAGTAAAAAGAAAATACTACCTGTGTATATTAGAAAAGAATGCCTAAGTATGTTTAGGTTCAGAAGATGTTCCAAGGTGGAGGGGTTTTTTTGTTTATTTGTATGGTTTGAAAAGTAAAATAAAGGAATTATGTTTAAAGGCTCACTTTCTGCAAAAGGGAGTTTGGTTTGTATGATTCATAAGGAAGAGGAATGTTTCCAGTTTCAAGAGAGGATTTTAACTTGCCCAACATTAGCCATCTAAAGTCTAGACAAAAAGCCTCTCTAGGCCATGGGGCAGGTACAGTACCTCCAAAATCTGTCGTCTCACTAGGAGAGGAATTTCATTCTTGAGGTGCCTCTCCTTACTTTGCTTCTCAAAGTAAACTTGGAACCTAACTTTTGCATGTCTGAAGTTAGGTGAGTTGAATGCCTGTCTCAATAGTCCACCCCTTAACAAGCTATTTTTATCAAAGCTTTTCAGTAACTGCCCTTTTGGGTCCCTCCCACTTAACCCAGGAAAGCTTCTGGAGTATTTTTGGCCCAGTTCATTTTAGAAAAAAAATTTTTTTTAGAAAAAGACTTTGATACAAAGCAAAGACACATCAGTACCACATGAATTCTTCTGCACTGCTTGTGCAGACTGGTGCCCTGCATGCTCACTGCAGATACAGAGACAGCACATGGTGCAAACATGAAGATACATTCATAGTTAAAATAAAAAGTTTAAACATTTTGATGTTTTGAGAAAGTATTTAGACCTTCAAAATTTTCCACTAAATTTAGCCTAAACAAACATGTTTAATTTGATTTCTATTCTTTTTGTGTGATAGCATGTACTAATAATTCAGAAATTGAAGAGAAGAGGATTAAAGAGAGAACTCAGCAGCATTTGGATGACTATGCCAGAAGAGGACTGCGCACTCTGTGTATTGCTAAGAAGGTATTCCTTTTAATACACTTGGAAGAATGTTTGCAGTCTGTGACCGGCCTGAGAGGTATCACCAATGGAGCAAACATCACAGCTTCTAAACAGATTCTTCCATTGCCACATTTTGTTTATCCTTATGTTCTTTCAGGAGGAATCTGTAAGATAACTCAGATCAATTCCTGATTTCTGTTAGATTGCCATAGCTGTTGTCAGTTTAGGATGCCAAGCAGCTTAACAGCCTAACTCTGAAACAGGGATTCTTAAATACCCTGATTTTTCTATAAGAGTCCTAAGCAGGTCTCCTTGTGTAAATCTTACCCTGGTTGGAATTCCAGGCACAGAAAACAAATCAAGTCACACCTGTTTTATTTGATGTCACAAACACTTTGCAGTGTTACAAACTAGATGCACAGTTCTGAGATTCCATTTTAAATTCAAAGCTGATCAGAAGTAAAACTCCTTAGAGATTGAAACAGGCAAGAAGCCTCTTTACAAAGCCTTTTGTGAAGTGAAAGAACAGGCTATGTAGTTGTGCAGTCATCAATCTGTACTCAGCTGTGCAGTGGTTCTGTGGCTGTCTCAGTGCTGCAGTTAAAGAGCAGTAGGGAGAGTATGCTGTGCCCCTTGACTGCTCCCTTCTGTCTAAGTGGAAGTCTGGCAGGCAGCTCCAGGAACCCACAGGGTCCCAGTGAGTAACCTGGCTAAGTAATCTAACTCTCTGAACGTCCATAAATCCATGGATATGTTGGAGCACACACATGTCAGAGCAGTGCTCTGCCAGGGGCTCCACTTCTAGGCTCAGAATTTGGGCAGCAGAAGTTACCATGAGAACACTTCTGAGGCACCATTGAAAACACAGTATAGATACATGCCGGATGTTTTTTCTCCCTGTGTAGGTGATGAGTGATGCAGAATATGCAGAGTGGTTAAATCATCATTTTTTAGCAGAAACCAGTATTGACAACAGGGAGAAGCTGCTGCTTGAATCTGCCACAAGGCTTGAGACAGACCTAACTTTGCTCGGTAAGCAGAAAATGCTCTAACCCCCAGGAAACTGCTTATCATGTCCATAGTTGGAATTTGCTTATAGAGAGCTGTGCTAATCTCAGTTTGTGTAATACATAGCTTTCTACAGAGCTAGAATTTGCTGTCACTTCCGAATTTTCATAAATCTCACTGGTAAATTTGTGCTAGTAAAACACATCGAAGACAGCTGGTACTCTCCTGTTGTTTGTAAACATTTTTTTACTGATTTTTTTTTTTATCATTTCTATTGTATTTTTGTGTGTTCACTAGAGTTTTTAAATATCATTTTAATAAGCATATGAAATGATAATAACAAATCACAGGCCTGCCTCTGCAAACATTCAGAGATATCCCACTTGTGGATGTGTTTTCCATCACTGTTGCATTTGTGGCACAGCAGGTATACTTGTGCTGTGTCCTCCTGTAATAACATGAAGGTACGAACTCAGGCATGCTTCTGCAGCAACCATTCATGCAGAAACCATAAAGGTCATTCAGCTGTGCAGAAATGAAATAAAAAATGTTTCAAAAGTTGTGTAGAAGGTCAACTGCAGACTGGCGGTAAAGGCAGCTCATGCTAGAAGCTAGAAGCTGAAGAGAGACAGGTCCTATTGTAAAAAGGTGTTGCTTTCCTCATTTTTGTGCCATATCTGCTTAGCGCAAATGCCATAAACCTTGATACTAAAAAGAGTTCTGGAATTACTGACTTCAGTTTCTGGAGTGAAACCAGAGCAGTGCTCTAAACTGATGTCCTTTTAAGAATATACAGGTACCCTTTGGCACTAAAGCCAGCAGAGAGAAGTCTAGCTGCTGTGGGGCCCTGCTGTCCTGCAGGCCAGTATGGGTTCACCCTAACATTAAATGGAAGTGAGAACAAGGATGTTAAATGGCTTCATACAGCCAAGGTGCTTGCTTAATCCCACTTTCCCTCCCTCCCTTAATCTCTCCCTCCTTCCCCCCTGTTCCTCCCTCCCTCCCACCCTTAGTCCCTTAATCTTACCCTTCTTCCCTCCTTCCCTCACTCCCTGAATCCCTCAGTTCCACCCACCCTCCCTCCCTCCCCCCTCTTAATCCCACTTTCCTTCACCCCCTTAATCCTCTAATCCCACCCTCCCACCCACCTTTCCCCCCCTCCTTCCTTTTCTCTCTCCCTCCCTCCCTCCCATTTCCAAACATTTCACAGTAGGGTGTCTGGTTTTGGATGTGGGTACGTACAGAGAACCATCTTGTCCTGTCACTCTTGCAGCATTTTGTCTTTGAAAATACAGCAGCACTAATCCTTCTGCTTGTCTAAATTAAGGCGCCACTGGCATTGAAGATCGCCTGCAGGAGGGTGTTCCAGACACAATACAGGCATTACGGAAAGCGGGAATAAAAATATGGATGCTGACAGGTGACAAGAGAGAGACAGCTGTCAACATTGCCTATGCTTGTAAGCTGCTGGAACCAGATGACAGAATCTTCACTCTTAAATCACAAAATAGGGTGAGTGGAAAATTAAATTTTCTTCTCTGCTGAAAAATTCTGTTAGGCTATACCACATGACAATATAGAGAAACAAAATGTTCTCTGCTTTCTCAACCAAATAAAGACAGAATGATTTCTTGGAAGATGAAAATACTGGAAAACTAATGGTTTCCTTCTGTGTGGGTAACATATGAAATCTTTTCTCTATATATAACATTTGTTTCTTCATATACGGTCCCTAAATTATGATTAATTACTTCAATTAAGACTGCCTAATTTCCCGTTTTGATAAGTTAGGGAGTTGACATGGCCTCAGGCTGTGCCAGGGGGGTTTAGGTTGGATATTAGGAAAAGTGTCTTCACCAAATGAGTTGTCAAGCGTTGGAACAGGCTGCCCAGGGAAGTGGTTGAGGCACCATCCATGGAGGTGTTTAAAAGGTATGTAGATGTGGTGTTGAGGAACGTGTTTTAGTGGTGAACTTGGCAGCATTAGGTTTATGGTTGGACTAGATGATCTTAAGGGCATTGTCAACCCAAATGATTGTACAATTCTATGTTATGAGACATTTCAAATGGCTGTGAGGTATAGGGTATCAGCAGTGTGAGAATTATTGTTGGGCAAATTCTATTGAATTAAGTTTTATGTTGCTTTTTGTAATACTTGCCTTCAGCCATGATTGTCTTGCAAAGATATAGAAGGAATAGTCTCATTAAGGTACATTGCACACAAGTCAAACTAGTCTGTCAACACTTTTATCAGAGAAAAAAGCCACCTTCTCCCTCACAACCCACTAATTGAATTGTGTGATAAAGAGTGGTTAAAAATGCTGGTTTGGACAGCATGTTTAATCCTACTTCATCGTTTCGACCTCTTGTGGTTGCTTATAACAATCTGGTTTTCGATTGATTTTTATCGATTTTGGATTGCTTATGAGAGAGATTGTTGGTAAAGCCAGTGTATGAAATGTCTCTCCTCAGAGCAGCCACAAAATCTGAGACTTCTCCAAAGCACTGGAGGGCTTTCTAAGACCTTTCATTCTATTTTGTTTCTCTTAAGAAAAACACATTACTTAAGAAATGCAGTTTGTATTTTTTAAAATGCCATACGATAATGTGGCAAGTAGTAACTGGGGGGAAAATAAAGTGAAAAATAAAGGATTTTAATCTGGTTATGTTTGAAGAAAGCTTGGAGTTTGATTTCTGCTAACACTTTTTTTTTTTTTCCTGCTGGGTAATGAGTATCTTACTTGACTGTGGGAACTGAGACACTTTTGCAGTAGTGCTCTTCCTCCCTCTAACTGGGCTTTGAAACAAAAAATAGAATTTGATACTGTTGCATTTCAAAGTAAAATGATGAGAAGATTTATTCTTCTATGTAACATGCACTTTACATATATTGATATCAATAGACTTTTGGGCATGTTATGTTGATTCTGACAAGGTAAAAAATTCTACAAGGCCAGTTCTTCAATAATTCACTGCAGCTTGCCTGTAATCTGATTTGAAATGCATTTTTTGGCTTTGCCTGCCAGACAAAAGAAATCTAAGGAGCAAAAATTTTCTATGAAAGCTGTATCTATATTAAGAATCCTTAACAGTTGCTTTTCCTGATAGTCTCTGAAGGTTTTCTGACTTGCTTCAGTTTTTTCCCTTCTCCTTATGCAGTACCCAAGCCAATATACTTAAGCGAAGTTATATCATAGACCCTTTTATTAACAACAGACTGCATCCTTAGTGATTTTAAAGGATTATTCAGCCTCATGTCTGAGCTTTTCTGTATTAAAGAGAAATGCTATACAGGAGCTGCATTTGACCTTTTCTCCATAAGTATTTTATGAATTGAAAAGGGAGCCAGAACACAAACAGTATTTAATAAGTTGCCTTTCTTTTGTCTTTAATTAGGATGTCTGTGCCTTGGTAATGAGCAAAATTTTAGAAGACATCCAGAAGAATGCTTCTGCCAAAGAAAAACCCAGGCAGAAGCTTGGAAATGTCTCTGCAAGTCCCTCCACCCAAGCTCCAGGGTTCAGTGCAGGCCTGGTTATTGATGGAAGGACTTTAGAGCATGTCCTTCATGACAGCCTACAGAATATTTTCCTGGAACTCACAGAAAAATGTCGGGCTGTAGTCTGCTGCCAAGCCACACCGCTACAGAAGAGTGTCCTGGTCAAGCTGGTGCGAAGTAAGCTAAAGGCAATGACATTAGCTGTAGGTGAGTCCTGTGGTTATCCTCCTTCCTCTGAAAAGAAGTAGAAGCCAGTTTCTCCTGTATTTTGTCAGTGTCTGTAACAACATTTTTTTACAAGCAAGATAATCTTTTGAATCATAGTTCTCCCTAGCACAGAGATGCTGTTAGCCTTCTGAACTAGCAAATATAGTCCATAAACTTGCAGTAATCTAAAGCAATAAGAACAGCATCGGTCATGCAGTGTTATATAACGTGTGCAAAGCAGCAAGAGGGTTTTCCTTTCCATCACAGGCAGAGGGGATATAACTGGCTCTGATTTAAAACACATATATTTTCTGTTACAGCATGCCAACTAGATTCTGGCAAAAGGAACAGCTATTATCCATTTGGAGAATATAGCTCAGTTCAGTCAAGCCTTCCACTTACTAATCCTCTTTTCTGTAGCATTTTCCATAGCCTGCACTGTTGGTCATAAGAATGTTTTTCTCTGAACTCTCTGGTGTTTGGAACTTGTCTTTTCCTACCACCTCCATAGCCATGTGATGGCCTGCAAAGCTAGTTTTGATTCTCCCACTTTTCTCTATAGGTGATGGTGCCAATGATGTCAGTATGATCCAGGTGGCTGACATTGGTGTGGGAATATCGGGCCAAGAAGGCATGCAGGTAGTGTTTCCAAAGACAGCTGCAAATGACGTCAGGTTCCATTCTAAATCACTTTAGAGTGTACACTGGAGACCCAGCAGCTCCACAATCTACTCCCTTACACGGGCAAGAATTTGCAGCCCGAGCTCACGCCCTGGCCCCAACATTCTGCCAGGAGCAATCAAGCTGAATGTTGCTGGTCAAGCTCCAAACAACAGGTCTTTTTGCCTGTCGCTGAGCTCCCTATTACTCATGTCCTGCAGGGAAATGAGCAGCCTGAGTGTCAGTGATTTCTGTGCACTTGTGTGGTAGGAATGACAGCAGCCATGTTCCTGCCTATGCTGCGTTGTTAGTTGTAAAGTTTTATATGGAAGGGGGTATCTGAGTGAGGGTAACCTCGTAAGCTCTATGTATAAAAAAATCATAAAATAAAAATTTCCAGCAGCGGGTAAGTTACTCGCTTGGCAGGATCTGAAGTTTGTCTTTAACAGTTTGGATGTAGCATATCATAGAATCATAGAATTAACTGGGTTGGAAGAGACCTTCGAGATAATCAAGTCCAACTCTTGATCCTTTTCTTCATGTGCATTGCAGGCTGTGATGGCAAGTGACTTTGCAATCTCTCAGTTTAGACACCTCAGGAAGCTGCTGCTTGTCCATGGTCACTGGTGTTATACCAGGCTTACCAACATGGTTCTTTACTACTTCTACAAGAATGTGGTATGTAGCTGTCCAATCCCAGGGAAAACACAGTTTGCATATATGGGGGCGCAGAGGGGTTTAGTGGGGCTTTATTTTCTTTTTTCTCTTTCTATTGTGAATGGGATCAAAAAGCGTGTGTCAAACAATTCAGTTTCTCATTTTTGTCTGCAGAGACCAGAGACTCTTATTTCTTGGACTGAATTTCTCACTTAAAGCCATTGTCTGATTTGATTAAACAGTGGTTAACGGGCATTACTAATGTGGTTGCAGCATGACTATTTAAACAAGTCATGTCTGATTTTGAAATGTAAAACTGCATGCTGGTCAAATATAATTTTCAAGTGTCAGGTGGCATGAGCTCCGTAGCATTTATACTTAGTTTTCCACAGATTACTGTAACCAGACCTAGTATCTGCCTGGTTTTCTCCTGGCTTTTAAAACACTTGTCTGTGAGTAACATTTTATCATGTCGTCATTGACTTTTCAGACCTACGTGAACCTCCTATTTTGGTACCAGTTTTTCTGTGGGTTCTCAGGCACATCAATGACTGACTACTGGATCTTGATTCTTTTCAATCTCCTTTTCACATCGGTGCCACCCATCATTTACGGTGTCTTGGACAAAGATGTATCTTCAGAGATACTCATGCAGCTCCCACAGCTGTACACCATGAGCCAGAAATCTGTGGTAGGTTAAAGAGTGCTTGGCCTGAAGCAAATTGAAATGGTCAGCATTTGAGCCGTTTTTGTCTTTTTTTCATGGTTCACCTCAGACAAACATTGTTTTAAAGCGCTTTCTCTATTAGAAAAACATCTAGGCTTGTGCAATACGTGCACAAATAAGATCTGTTTTTCAGAAGATTTTTGTTGGCTCTTTTTAGTTATAGACCCAATCTTATCAGACTTTTGGATGATAAGAGAAATTAAGGTGAAGCAATGTACTAGAGATGTTAGAGAAGTCAAGCAGAACATGTACCAAAAAGAAGGGGATGGAGATAGAAGTAGGACTTGGCATTCAGTGATGGTAAAATGCAGGTTACATCACTCTCCATTAGCCCCCCTCCTTTCCTTAGTACTCAGTTAGCTACAGCTCTAGTAGGTCTGTTCTGACAGAAACAGCTGTAAGATCAGAGTTCCCAGAGCCGGCTACTGATTTAAATACTAGCAGTTATGGTTGGAGGGAGATCTTCATTCCAATAACTATAACACAGAAGGTGCCTCTTTCACTGGGAAACTAACTGGAATTATTTCTGCAGGTAGTCTTTCCCCAAGTCCAAATTAAAGCTAGTTAAGGATGCAGCAATTTGTTCAGTTTGTTTCAATGTTATGATGTTTTTTTCTTACAGGCTTACTTGCCTTCAACTCTCTGGATAACCTTGCTGGATGCTTTTTACCAAAGTCTCGTTTGCTTTTTTGTGCCTTACTTTGTAAGTGCTGGATACAAAATACATTTACACATTTTGGCATGCTTAAAACCTAGGCAAAGCAGAGAATAAATGAAGTATTTTAATTTTCTTCCTCATATATAAATGTATACTAAGAAGATTGTCATTGGAATGTGTATGAAATATGTGTATGCAAATATGTATGGTATTGAAACTATTCGTGACACTTTGTATTGGGACTGTATGTAAAGAATATATTGCATTGACTGCTGTCTTCCTTTATAGACTTACTATGACTCAGACATAGACATCCTTTCTTTTGGAAACCCTATAAACACAGCAGCACTCTTCACAATACTGTTTCACCTTCTCATTGAATGCAAGTCTGTGGTGAGTACTATGTTTCCAAAACAATTCCTAACAGAATACCTCCATACAGCTTTCAATAAAATTAAATGGAAAAAAAGATCTTCATATACAAAACAATACATGTAAAAGGACCAAAACCTAAACATTACATTTATGTGGCCATATGAGCTCTTCTAATGTACCTATCATTGAAACCAATAGAATTACTCATATGACAAAAATTAATAAAATTTTTGGCCTCAGAATTATTTTTAAACAGTGAAAGGGTCCTGCCTCATAAGGGTATGGTGAATTTTGGGGATGTCAGTTCAGTTTTGCAAATGATAAAATCAACCAGTGATCTACTGAAGCTTTCCTTAGTTCCCAAAGCTTGTATCTTAAAGACAACAATGTGAATTGTTGATTTTTGAATGCTTGGAGCTGATGATCTGCTCTGTTGCCAGAATGAACAATTCAGAGGGGTATTTTGATGACAGAATTGGAAAACCAGTATGCTACAGAAACGTTATTGCAGTTTTTAATTAAGTCTCCACAAGCTGAAGCATCTGCATTACTTTGGATAAAGCCCTTACCAGGGTAATACTTGGCTATTTGGCATAATTTTAAAGAAAATACAGTAGAAGGATACACAGATTAATGGGCTTTATGTTTTATCTGACTTTTTTTTTATATATTTTTTTAGAATTGTTTTATAATGGATGAAATTTTGAGTTGTGATTCAGTCTTTTCATTGTTCTCTTGGGAGCGTGGCAGCCATGATAAAAACGTCTTTATTGAGAATATATGGATAGCATGAGTGTATTCACGCTCTGAATAGAGAACTTGACTTAAATGGGTTTTGTTTGGCATTTTTGAATGTCGGCAAGCTGTCAGACCAGTGACAATATTGTTTCCTGTTAGAGTCATTTAGGTGTAAAATTACAGAAAACTCCACTGTAGAAAGCTAATTAGCGTCTCAAGCAAGATACATAAGGGTGGTGGTGTGAAGATCTGGCCTCCAATTGCTTGAGGAGGCTTTCTTTGCTGTAGAGGATGAGGTGGTAGCGTAAGGCAAATGGCACAAAGAATGTCTTTCACAAAAGAATGGAAAGCTATGAATTTATTAGAATAAAATAAATTAGGTGGTTGGGGTACCTGTGTATTGTGGAAAGAAGGCTCCATTCTTTCTCAGCCGTTTTGTATGAAATTTGGAATATTGTCTGAAGAGATGTATCCTCTGGTACATTCAGCAGCTGCCCTTGGAGGAAGGGTATGTTCGCGCTTACCAGTGTACACACAGGTATTACAGGTTTTCCTGTTTTAGAGCTTAAATCTAATTTCTTTCCTTTTCTACTTCGCAGACTTGGATACATACAGTAGTTATAGTTGGCAGCATCCTGTGTTACTTTGTCTTCACTCTGGCTTTTGGAGCAACCTGCAAAACCCACAACCCACGATCAAATTCTTACTGGATCATGGAAAAGCACATGACAGACCCAGTATTTTACTTAGTTTTCCTCCTGACTACTTGTGTTGCTCTGCTACCTAGGTGTGTTTCTGTTTTATAATCACAGATTTCAGCTGTTACCAAAATTAGTTTTCTGTGACTCAGTGATGTTATAAATCTCTGGCTAGAGGTCTTACCCTCTTTAAAGGAAATTTCATGACTCTACCAGACCAAGCTATGCAAGGACATATTTTTAGTGAAATTTAGTTCTCAAAGTCAATTTCAGTAATAAAAAAAATATTTTGTGATTTATATTATATTAAATATTGGTTTTGAGGGGAAAGAAACAGTAATTTTTGTAACAACAGAGCTCATAGTTTATATAGAAATCAGTGATCAAAGCTGGACATGTACTCTGTTTAGTACATGGACATATAAGTACTTCGCATTTAAACAGCTTATTTGTAACTGTGTTTATTTTGTAGATATTTGCTGCGAGTTCTCCAAGGAACATTGTTTCCATCTCCGTTACTGAGAGCCAAGTGCCTTGACAGACTGACCCCCGAGGGGCAGAGGGAAGCAATTAAGACATGGAAAGCTGAGTGCGATGTGAATGATAGAGGGGAGTCTCAAGCTACTTCTGTGTCTTTCAGCTCAACTGCAGGTGCTGTATCAGAGGAAGAAAGCATTGACAGTGTTTTGCCAATATCTAAAACACCTTTTCAGGCCTGTCCAAGAGATGGGCTAGTAGAGGACAGTTCCTTCTTACTAGACATTCAGGATGATTCTGGTAGTACAAATTGCTTGAACTCTAAAAAGGCTGAATTTCTGAACTTATCAAAGGAAACTAATACAGATACATTTGCTGATAATAATTCATGTGGCAAAGTCTGCGTGTGTGCTTCTGAAGTGGGCAGCAGTGCTGTATCTCTAGCAGAAAAAGCAGGTTTGAATTCTCTTTTGTGTGAACAAGATGCTTTACTGTATTTTACAAAGTTGGAATGCTAACTGGTTAAACACAAGAGTAGTAACTGCTGATTTACGCTACACTGTGGTTCTGTTTTCTTCAACCAGGGTAGATGATGCACATATTTCTTAAAAAACTTTTTTGTTTATAAAACTTTTCAATAATTTATTAAGATGTTTAATGTCTCAGAGGTTGGGTTGTTTTTTTATATTTCTTCATACAATAGACTTTTCATGCTGCTTATTTCTTGTATGCAACATTGCATAATACCTCGTGGTGTTGCATGGATGCAGATTTGCAGGATCCAGTTCAGGTAAGTCGTCCTGCTCCCTTGCGGTGCTACCCTAGAATCCTAGCATTCCCTGGGATTCACCATTTGCTGAAGTATGAAGGAAGCACAAGGGCTGGGATGTAATGTTACTGGTTGGCTTGTTTCAAGACTTGTTGCAGTGTGTGTACATAGTAATTTTTGTAACCATTATGGTCCAGTTTGTTCACCAGGCTATTGCATGGGCCATCTCAGTGCTGGCCAAAGACCTTTTTAACCATCAGGAGAGCAGCCCAGAAGAGACACGTGTCATGTGTGTCCCTCACCTTTCTCTTCCCAAAAAGGGCAAATCCTAGTGCAGTTTTTTGTTTTCTGTGTTAGTTCATCCTCCTACTGCATCCCTCCATTTTGACTCCATGTGCCATTCCACTTTATTCGCCACTGACTGGACTTCTTTTCCTCCTCACCCAATTCAGATGTTGACTGCTTGACTTTTCTCTACCTCCTGCCTGCACTGCAGAATTGTCTGGCAATGGGCAACTCCAGTCTGTCTTCAGGCTTCCTCTTACAAATAACAGCTTCTAGCTGATGAGATCACTCTTCTTTACTCTCAGGTGTTTTTATATTCCTCCAGACTTTTATAATAATCAGCTGAAGTGTCTCTAAAGGCTGCTCAGAAGAAGGTATAGCCCATTGTATATCGCATATCTGAGTGCTATTGCTCATCTGTCTTGGAGTTAGATGAGTCCTGCCTCTGTCGTTTTCCCAGCACTCAGCTCTTCCACTGGACAAATGTGGTTGAGGTGCATGTGGCTACTTCTGGATTCCAGATTAAAATATTGCTTCCATTTTACTTCCCTTCATTTATTTCCCTTTGCCAGTTACATGGCAAATTTATAGAGGAACTTAGGAAAATTGTTTGTGTCCACTAACACCTGTTGAAATAAAAAATTTTCTCAAACTATAGCTGCTAATGAATTATTAGTATTGAGACCATTTTTTGGTTCTTTTACTTTCTAAGTATCTGCTTTCCAATTGCCAAGATTTGTGTTTATTTTTAGGCACTGTGTTCAGGGCAAGGGCTCTGCTTTTTAGTTGAACCATGAGCTTTACGTGTCAATGATCAACATTACATATTCCACATCTTTTAAGATCTCTGCAAGAATTTAAACAAACTCTGTGAGGTCTGAGACAGCTGCTGCTATGCAGGGCAGATACTGAGGGCACGCTAAGTTCATTCTAATGCCAGTCACCACGTGTTACCAAAAGTTTAAAACGGTTCTGTTTTCAAAAGGTAGAATGTATTTAGGGCTGACTTTATCCCTAGTGTTAGTGAGGAGAAAAAGAGAAAAATAACCTTTTTGTTTTTCTTCTGTAGAAGAAAAAAAGGGGAAGGAACCAGTGATGACAGCCATTTCTGAATTATTTTTTTTTTTAATCTGGTTGAACATAAGGCAAAATGTTTTGTTAAGTTCTAACATAAAGTTAGTGGGGACCTTTGAAGTGATGGCAGACATTCAAATTCTGAGAGATCATGTTGAGCATGTTTGTCTGCAACATCCTTCTTGCTGCAGAGGCACCTTGCCAGGAGTGGCCCCCAGTTGTTCAAATGAAACATCTCAGTTTTCTCTACAAGCCATGGGAGCTGCAAGGTGTCCAAAAAGAAGATGGGGAGATGAGCTGGTACAAGGGTAGAATTGTGCAGGAAGAGACTTACTGGGATGCAGTGAAATCATCTACTCTGCTGCACAGCCCCAGGGCAGGCTCAGCTCTACCCTTGCAATTTGTAGCAGATGTTCTCCTGTTGTAAAGAGCTCCAGAGAAACAGGCCAGGCTAGTGCTTTCCTGCCCTAAAGGCCAAATACTGTTTTTGTTTCTATTGTCTGACCTGAGTGATTCATCTTCACCCTAAATCTACGGCATTTGTATCTACAGGGCAGATAGTTGTTATGTTCTACAAGTCTGTGACTCTGTGACTGAGGTATGTTGAGTTTTCATGGAGGAGTTCTGGGACTTAGCAGTGATCTGAGGGAGTGCAGGGCTCAGCTCTGTCCCCTCCTCTCACTGTGAAAAAGAGTTTGGAGGACAACACTGGCCTGTGACCTGTCCTCTTATTGCTTCTGCTGCGGGAGCAGAACCTACCAGCGCATTTGGCAGGTCGATCATTTAGTGTCAGGAATTTACATGTGTCTTATACAAAAGCTGTAAATATTCAGAATAAGATCTTCCAAAACCTTCTGACTGTAAACCATAGCATCAAAATAACTACATGAAGAAAAATAAGTTGGAGTCATATGTCAGCCCTGAGACCAGTTGACTTGATGCCTCTGGGACATTTAAATTCCTATTGTGCAACTGTTTACAAGTGTGGTCACCCCACTACTCACTGCTTAGTTCGGTGAGAATTTCAGGACACAAACTGGATGAAAGATGATTTCATTTGGGTCTCATAAGTACCAGGCTCTCTGGGTTACTGTGAAACTTCAGATCCTTTTAAATGTTTTTCTCTGGTGAGACTATAAGTGGCTTTGTACCTCTTGAAATGATGCAAAATACCACTTTTTATTTTGTGTCTTGCACCACTGATGCTGTGTGTTGCTTAACATTCTCCTCTATAGGTTGTGTTTTAGTAGAGGACTTTGACAAGCAGTCTGGGTGCTAAAATTATCTGTTATCTGTTGGGTAAAACACTTTTTTTGGGGGTTGATTTTTTTTGGTTGGTAGTTGGTAGTTTTTTGGGTGGGGTTGGTTGGTTGGTTGGTATTTTTGTGGTGGACAAGCAGCAGAAATACCCGGGGGCTGTTTGCTGTGATCACTTGCTATCTTTTACTGAAAGGAAGATGAAGGTAGTGAGTCTTTAATAAAAGCTTCAAAATGTTATTTGGCCATATCTAAAGTGGTGCCAAATGAAGGGTGCAAACGAATCGCTCTCTCTGTACTTCTCAATAGTTCAATGTTCCCGTTATTATTTTTTTAGCACTGAAAACGTCATGATCCCCTGCTTGCTTCTGCACTCCTGCACTTAGGCACAGCATGACCTGACTTCTATTTTGAAAACAAGCTTTTTAAGATCATCTCACAGGTGCCTTCCAGATGTCATGGAGGGTAGCACAGCATGTAGGCTTTTGTAGTTTTAAAACAAACCAAAACAGTCACCTTCAATTGCCCCAGCTTTGCAGCTACACCTAGAGCAGCTTTAGCTCCCTTTGTGATGTACATTATTTGATTTTTCTTTCACTGCAGTCACATCTGTGCTAAACATTTGCAGGGGGCAGTCAGCCATAGCCTTTACTAAAGTGTTTTGGCAGCACTGAGGTTTGGTCTGTACCTGGGGCATGGTTTGAGCTGAATGTTTAGCCCAAGCCATGTTTTTTCCTTAGGCCCACTGGCTGCAGCCCAAGGCTGAGGAGCAGCCAAGGCAGAGTGCCCACTGCTCCCACCATCCCTGGCTCTCTGTGGAGGCTAATGGGCAAGTCCTGAGTGTAACTGGGTTAAGAATGTTCTCACAACTGAATTTCAGCATGGGTTTTGTATTATTTGCTTCTGTTTTATTCTGGTTGTGTTACTCCTGCCCTCATCGTCCTGGCTGCCTTACTGCAGTGAAAACATACATTTGAACTGTTTTAAGCTTCTGCGTGCTTTTTATTTCGATTTCAACATGTTTGTATGTTGTTGAAATGCTGTGTACAAGTTAAAAGAAGATAGTTATTTCAAACTAATTGTATTCCAGAGAAATAGCCATAGAGGAAAATGTGTTCAGATTGCAGATTTAGGTTTTCAGATTTCTCAGTCTGTTCCTGGTAATATTCTGTATTGGAAGCATACACACAGAAGAAAATGAAAGGTGTACAGTGGTAGTAGTGCCAGAATCTCCACAAGTGTTGCAGTGCTAACAGGGCTGTCAGGGCTACTAAAAAAAATCCAGCTAAGGGTACAAAAATGCTTTTTGGAGGCTATTTTTGGGCGTTATTGCTAAAGTTATAACTTTACATCTCCTTATTACCATTTAGTCTCTCTAAAGTTTAAAACACATTTTCAACAGAGAAGTTGTTTGGAAAATGATTGTAAATTTTTATTAGTACAACTAGAAGGAAACACATTGGCTTGACTGCGTGGCATTGCTTCCTTTTGGAGCCACAGCTGTGGTAGAAGCAAAACTGACAGATGTTACCTTACAGTGAGGCTATGCCTGTAAGAGAAACAGCGTAATTATGATCAGCACATAATAGGGAAAGGCTTGCTACAGTGGAAGGAAGAGCACGTTTGCCTATTTCACATGCACACGTAAAAAAAACAGTATAAAAATACCTTTATAAAATTACAAATTTCCTCTTTACATGGAATGTTGTGTCAGATACAGTTGTGGGGAAGGACAAGACCCAACTGCTTCCTCCTAAATCCATTTGGGATGGGGTTCATCCTGTAATTTATTCAGACTGATCCCATACAGGATGGCTCTGGACCATATATTTAAGCAGGAGTCTCCCTCATTTCCTGGGAGGGACTGCTTGGAAACTGGTGGCAGGCCAAACCCAGTTAATTAAAATGTGTAATTACATGATATCGTTTAGTAATGCTAATATCTACATGAATGATTATATGTACTCCAGTGCTTTACAATATTCATAGCTGATAACCACTTCATCTGGTGGAGAGAAGTGAGGCTGGGTTGCTCATTCTGGAACAGCATCTCTTTGGAAAACAGACCTGGCTGAAACCTGAGACCAGCAGGGCTGGTTGGCTCTGGCAGTCCCCGGGGCTGCCTTCTCAGGGAACTCTTGGTAACCAGCTCTGGGACTTTGAGCTGTGCTGCCCCTACAGCTGCAGAGATCCTGGCCCCAGAGGAAAGCTGAAGTGAGGACTGAGAGCTCCACCCTCAATATCCTTGAGGCCAAGATATCAATAACCTGTTTCAGCTGTAATCTACTTGCACTGGAAAAACATAGTCACAGCTGCTTTCTCTCATTTATAGCTGGGGGAAGAAGAATATTAAGATGTTACGGTAAAACCAAAAATACTTAAGATACTAAAAATAAAAATAAAATAAAAT